CTGCGAGGTCTTTGCGTAGACTTCGGAACTTTCTTCCGACTGCTACTAAAATTGCGCTTACTCAATCACTTCTTCTTCCCATCCTCGATTATGCTGACGTCAGCTATCCAGATCTTACCGAAGTGCAGCTAGATAAACTTGAGCGACTCCAAAATTTTAGTATACGGTTTATATTTGGTTTACGCAAATATGATCATATTTCCGAATATCGCGCTAAACTCAAGTGGCTGCCGATCCGCCTTCGCCGGGATACTCATATCTTATCCTTACTCTACAGTATACTGTTTAATCCTACTACCCCCCACTATCTCAAAGAACGTTTCCAGTTCTACCATGACACACATTCTAGACCAGTACGGTCGTCGGAGGATATGAAGCTTGAGATGCCCCAGCATGCGAGTAGATCATTCGACAGATCTTTTACAGTACGAGCTGTTCGACTGTGGAATGCTCTGCCACTTTCTGTCAGACAAGCAGAGTCACTTGTTACGTTCAAAGCACTCGTGAAAAACCACTATCTCGCCACGTTGTAGTCCATTACTATTTCTTTTTTGTTTTTTCTTTTACTGTTACCTATTCATCATCTGTGCTATATTTTTATTTGTGTATATATCTATATATATATTTATATATATATATGTTGTATGTATGGATATTTATATGGATATGTTTGTATGTATAAGGTCTTATGTAAGTATTATATTTTATTTTAAATATACTATTTATTTAGAGAATATATATTTTGTACATATAATTTGTAAGTACCTGAGTACACCAAGAACAACCTCCACTTTCATCGAACAATGCTCCATTCACCCAAAGGTTGCCTGGTAGAGATCGCTATTAGTGATAAGGCCGCCTTTGTACCCTACTATTTTTTATTATAACGCTAATGTATATTCCATTTATTTAAGGTGTACAATAAAGGTTATTATTATTATTATTTTCATATATTTATTTAAAATTCTCTATAAATTATTATTATTATTATTATTACTTACATCTCTGTACCAAATGACATATTTTTCTGTCTCTTTTTGTTTTTATAAATTTTACCCCACACTGTATCTTTCTCCTGTATCGTGGGTGCGTTTACAAACATACAATTTCACGTTCACATACACCGCAGACCAGAAATAACAATCTGTGGATCATCTCAAAGAGTTGCTCCATACGGGAATTGAGCCCGCTATACACTTCGTGACGGACGGCTCGGTTGCCTAGCCACCTATGCAGTCATTTAAATCCGTCCATCAATTTTATCGTAAAGGAGTGACAGACATACATACATACTTAACACAAACTTTCGCATTTATAATATTAGTAGATATTATACACCTTCTTACTGATTTTTTTTTTGTAATCCAGTGAGAATTATTATTCTAGTAATTTCCTTTTTTAACCTTTTTTCAGTCCCAATGTGATTGATGTCAGTTGATGGTGGTTATCAGTAATGTTTTGTTTCCTATTCATGTTTCGAATATGATTTAACTTACCAAAGTAAAAAAAAAATACTTATGCCTGTATAAAAAATGGAGTAATGCCGGAATACTGAAACGTTACTCAAATATCGTGCCATCTCTGTCATTTTACAAAGAATTTGTAGAGATAGAACAATACTTAAGCACGACTTAAAATTGAGTAGCGTTTTAGTATTCCGACATAGGTAAGACTGATATTAGTCCCACGCTGACCGTCAGCGCTCATAGGCCAGGTCGGGCTGCCAGTGCCGATTATCAGTGTGTGGTCAACGTCTTACAAATAAACTAACTTTGGGTTATTTGTTTTTACACTATTCCCTAAGTTATTACTGTAAACTCCTTTTTCTGAAATTATATCAATTAAGGTATACTTAAAAACCTGTTTATGTCCTGGTACACGGATTTCATTTTCCGCGTTTATTCCGTTTTTTCTCAAAACATTTTGTTTTAAGAACATACGGTAACCGATTTCAAAAAGTAATTATTGTCATTTATCAGGGAGCATCCACCTCTCGCCAAAGTACCTTTGACAATTTAATTTATGCAAAAAACGACTTTAAATTCCAAAACTAGTTTTTTTGAATGATAGTGTAGCGACAGCGCCATCATTATGTTTGTGGTCAATGACTCTGAACCCGTGAGGTCCATGTTGATGGCAATGAACTGAAACATCCAGACCTGTGTGGCATACAATATAAAAGACTTAATTCATATGAGCTTTGGGTACAGTTTGCAATAACGTTTTGCAAATATTTAATATTCTAGCCACAAGAAATTATGTTTTAGATAAAGTTATTATTTTAGCAAAGACCTTCCCTTAGTATCGTGATAAAGAATTGTATATTATAGATTTCATCTCATCTGATTCTGGTCCAATGCATTTACATTATATAAGTAATTATTTCGGTACCAACGGCTTAGAAAAGAAAATCTAACCAATAAAATGATAATGTCGAAACGACAAGATAATGGTATATTTAGGCAACAATTTTAATTCGTAATTGAAATTATCAACATTTAATTTTTTTACAAAATAGCACTAGCAAAACAGTAGGTAATTTTTTTTTTATATAGGGTAATCGAGGCCGATAAAGGAGCAGAGAAAGCACCATCATGTGATGGTGCTTCGGCGTCGCCCATGGACACCCGGAACACCAAAGGCGTTACAAATGCGTTACCGGCCTTTTGGGGATTAGGGATTTAAAGATTGTTGAAGATTTAGAGATCAGGCAGATTGGGGAAGGGGGGAGGTAATTGGGCCTCCGGTAACCTCACTTACACGACGAAACACAATACCAGCGTTGTTTCACGTCGTTTATCTGTGAGGCTGTGGTATAACTGCGGTCCAGCCGACCCATTCGTGCCGAAGCATGGCTCTCCCACAGTAAAATAAATTAGTATAATTTATAATAGTAAAAAACTGCTATAATTGACTGACTAACCGTACAACAGGTTTGGTTCAGCAAAAACCTGTTGAAATTTAATAGTATCGGAGTACGAAGATAGTAATGAGATATTTTTTACTCACTTTTTTGTACGACGAAATGGTCAACTGTCGAGTAGAACTTCCATTAGAATTTTGCCAAGTAAATAAAATAATTTCCATTAGCTTTAATTACATGCTGATTAAATAAGTAAAAATATAACAAGACACCAAATATATAATAGTGAACCTTTTTTTTTTTTTTTTTTTTTTTTAAGGGGGGAAAATCATCGAATGACTGCTCCCGCCTGGGTGAGGCGGAAGGGAGTGTCAGACTCTTACTGACTAAAAACCACCCCGTTCCTTCTCCTGCACGTCGAGCCGGAGCCCCGGTTACCCGTTAGGTTCTCCGCGACTCCGAATCGGCATCGGCCCTATTGGGCCCCATCTGTGGTGGTCTGATGGCTCTTTGAGGCGCGCGCGGAACGCGACGCGCCGTACGCTCGGGTCTGTTTCTGGTCGGACGGGGAGCCACCCATGCTCGCCGTCCGCAGGCCCGCGCTTACGGTGGCCGGAGATCGTCCCGCGATCCCCGACGCCCGGTGTGTCCTTCGCGATGGCTGGGTTGCGAGGAGGCAGCGCTTCGCTGCCTCACGCGTCCCGCCTCCTCCTTAGCTAGCATGACTGCTTCGCAAAAGGAGGAGACGGCATCCCAGTCCCCCTCGCTCCGCATCATGGCCTGCACTAGGCCCGGACGCGAGAGGTCGCCATCGCCGATCACTTCCCTGAGGGCACGGCGGTGCTCAGCCCACGCAGGGCATTCCGCTACGGTGTGTTCCACCGTGTCCTCAGGGCGGTCCTCGCAGTGATGACACCCGGGCGTTTCCTCCCGCCCCATCAGACACAGGTACCTCCCGAAACTTCCGTGTCCGGTGAGGACCTGCGTCAGGCGGTAGGTGAGGACGCCGTAGCGTCTCTCAAGCCACTCCTCAAAGATAATAGTGAACCTACGCATTCTTGAAACTTCAGAAACGATAAATTTAAATAACTATGGTGACCGAATTTATTATTTTATGGAATAAAACGAAGTCAAATGCAAAACAGTTAAATCTTAATACAATTCTACGCATTCATGAAACTTCAGTAAAGATAAATTTAAATAAAAATGATGACCGAATTTAATCAAAACGCAGTCAAATGCACAATATTTTAAATCTTAATACAATTTTAATCAATTATAAGCTATAACATAGTCAGTTAATAAAAAAATCATATTGGATTACAAAAATACACTTATCACTATTCCTATGACCTAAATTTCTATTCTTAAAATCCATTCCAATTCTTCCAGACGATGGATTCTCACTCTTCGCATTCCACGGAAACCTTAACCAAGAAATGGAAGGACTAGAAGCTGGACAGTGGGCCCGTGACATCACGAAACCCAAGAATGGAACCTGGTACTTCAGAGATAGAAATGTGAACTGAAACTTGGAGACAAAATATATTTCTGGACTTATGTTATCAAGAATGGACTGGGTTACCGACAGGATGATGGAGAGTGGACTGTTACTGGTAAATATTTTATCTACTTCTATTTAACCAGACAAACTTCGTCTCATCATCATCATCATATATCAGCGACAGGACGTTCAGTGCTGAACATAGGCGTCCCCCAATTACAAACTTTGTAACACCTAAATTTTTTTCTCTCACCTTTTAAACCTTATCTGAACATTTCAAACTGAATTGGCTTGGGAACCGATTTGGCCCAAATTATCCAAATCGGTTCCTCCGTTCTCGAGTTTTAGCAAGACTAATGAACGGATTTTCATTATTTTCCTCGTAATTTATTGTTACTGAATACATTTTGTCATTGATTGGACCTTAAAAAATTTTTTCTTCAATATGTTGATGTTAAAATATAGATGGGTACCTATACAATCATGAACATAAATTAACGCAAATATCACTATCTTCCAGGATTTGTAAATGAAGATGGAACTCCAGTAGACCCATCAGTGGCTCCGACACTAGCACCAGTCTCAGCTCCCACTCAGCCTTCTGCCGCACCACCTCCTTACCGTGCTCCCACTATGGCTCCTCCAGTACAATGCCAGCCATCTGCCACAACCGTAGCTGGTCGTGGAACCATCTGCCAGGGTGAGCTCATCTTTAACGAAGAGTTCGGCGGCTCTGCGCTAAAAGACCTCAACAATTGGACCCCAGAGATCAGATTTCCTGAACAACCGGTATGTGAAAGTTGTTTTTGTTTTGTTTTATGGCATAAGCCGGTAAACTAGCAGACGGTGATCCGATGGTAAGCAATCGGCGTCGCCGGAACCTGGAACACCAGAGGCGCTACAAGTGCGTTACCGACTTTTTGGGGATTAGGAATTTGAGGATCGTTGGGGATTCAGGGATTGGGGAAGGGGAGGGGTAATTGGGCCTCCGGTAACCTCACTCACACGACAAAACATAACGCAAGCGTTGCTTCACGTCGGTTTTCTGTGAGGCCGTGGTATCACTCCGGTCGAGCCGGCCCATTCGTGCCGAAGCATGGCTCTCCCACACTTTAAAAGTTATTAAAAGCGATGTTATAGTAAAAGTTAAAAACTGTCTCGAATGGTACGAAGTGCGACTATGATTTCTAAACCGAAAAAGCACTATAAGAGATGGGAATCTGCAACTGTAACATGTTTGTTATTATGTTTCGTAATTCTTTTTTAAATTCGTTTCAAACGAGCATCACGAGCTCTTGTGTGCTGGGTGCATTTAAAGACAGCTCAAACCTGGAAAAACTATTGAGATCATACTAAGGATTGGTCTGACACATATTGCAGCAAATGGTTGTCCAGCCCTACATCAACTCTACAGTCATTAACCAATCTTAATTTGGTTTCAATACCAGACACTTAATCATACCTTTTCTCATTCTAGGACTATCCTTTCAACGTGTACGTACCAGACAACACTATAAGATTCGAGGATGGATCCCTGGTCATCACACCAGTTCTGACGGAATCTATGCATCATGAGGGATTCCTCGTCGAGTCATTAGATCTTACTAACAGGTTGGTGGTCTTTGGTATATTAGTAGTTTATTTTTTATTGAAATAGGAAAAGAATTGGTTAGTGTTTTTATAAGCCAGTAAACGAGCAGACGGATCACCTGATTGTAAGCTATCGGCGTCGTCCATGGACACCCGAAAACCAGAAGCGTTACAAATGCGTTGTCGGCCTTTTGGGATTAGGAATTTGAGGATTGTTGTGGATTCAAGAATGGGGATAGTGTAGAATATGGTAGTGTTACAATATGATACAATTTTATTGATTACATGACGATATAACTACATATTATTTACTTTAGCTTTTAATTCTCGAAGAGCTACGCAGAGGTGACCTTTTCGCCAATTATGCTAAATTTAATAACTCTCTTTAAAACTAATCAAAATAATGTGCTAGACTCCATGTTATAAAGGTGAACGTATTAAATATTTATTCGCACAGATTTATGTTTAGAGACAAATGCAAAAGTGTTATTAACCAACAAAACATCAATGGCAGTCGTTAATCTAAAAGTTTAATTAATTAATGTTAATATTAAACGGTACAAAGCCACGGCTTAGTAAATTTCCTGTCGCTCGTTATACATTCGCCGGATGAAGACATCTCAGACATCAAACAACTTTTGAATCAATTACAATTATTGTCGGGACCAACTTCCTTCGCTTAAATTATTAAGAAACACGAAATTAATCATTCAACCTTAATTATTTTGGTTCGGAAAATACTTTTTATTTGGGATTAAATTTTTTGTATTTTACAATATAGTCAAAAGAATATAATATTTTTTAGCAATCAGAAGATTTAAAAAAACAATACAGGAAGTAGTTACATTTTATTAGATTATGCGAATACAATATCAAATTAAGCTAATCAACCGATGTTTATTTAAATAGGAACAAAATAACAATAACTCAATATGAAAATAATAGCATTCAGAATTTAGTTAATTAATATATGAAAAATATAAGTCTCACAGAATTTGACCGATTTTCCCGCTCCGAATGACAGCTGACAAAATGGCCGAGCGCGAGTTGTCCCGCGCTATTTATAGTAAGTTCAAGATGGAGTATTGGTCATCCCTAACAATATAATAATAGTGAAATGTACTTTAAAACTTTTTTTTGTAACTTCGCACCAACCGATATATTTCTCCACTTCATTGTTGACTGTCTAAGCACTTCAGTAGTCAGAATGCTTTAAGTTCACCATTTCCTCCATCTCTCCATGTATATGATAAGATGTAAAAAGTATCATTTTTCAGACCAATGTTTTCCATACACACATATTCCATACACAAATATACATAGATTTCTCACGCCCGTAGCAAAGTCAAAGATACTACGAGGAAAGTCTGTGTTTAGCATCGAACTTATTCTAGCTGATGATGGGTTTTTTATATTTGATGGGTCGACGTTTAGCCCCTATCTCGCCTATTGGTAAGCGATGATGCGGCCTACGATGGAGCACGTCTGCCCATTAGCAACTTATTTTGATAATAATAATGACTTAAAACACATTTATTTCACGTTTCACAGATGTACTGGTCAGTTAGGCACAACAGAATGCAGACGAGTGGCGTCTGGTGCCCAAATTCTACCTCCAGTAACTACGGGCAAGATCACCACACGCCATAGGTTTGGTTTCAAGTTTGGAAGGATAGAAGTCAGGGCCAAACTACCGGAAGGCAGTTGGCTTATACCTGGTAAGTTCCAATTTATTTTACCATGTCATTCAGATGATAACGGCAGATTACTAAGAATAAATATTTGTCATAAAATATCTTCTGCGGATGTCGTAAATAACCGTCTAGAGGACTACACAGTTTAAAGAGACTAGGTAGCAATGTAGCAGCGCTCTCTGTAAAGTTGTCCGTTGTAGAAATTATGGGAAATCCTCCTGTGAAGAGGAGATCCATAGTCCAACGATAGACGATAGCTACTAATTTTATATGTTGTTAAAAGTTAAATTAAGTTTTCTCCGAAGGTGAACCTACTTTTATTTCTATTGGTATTAATATATAGATACGATTTGATTTTTTGGAATATTAAGTGTAATTCCAAAGATGAACTACCTACTGAAACCATTGGGATCATGTTACATAGTATATTTTCACAATATTTTCCTCAACCGTATTATTTTTCTTTTTTGCCAGAAATTAACTTGGAACCTACAGAACATGTCTACGGATCCCTTCGCTATGAATCAGGATTGATACGTATTGCCTTCGCTCGAGGAAACCCAAGTCTTGCCAAGAAGCTGTGCGGTGGTCCCATCCTGTCTGACTCGGATCCCTTCAGATCCTTGCTGATGAAAGAAAAGATTGGAATCGACAACTGGAACAAGGATTACCATAACTACACCTTGGTTTGGAGGCCTAGTAAGTTTGAAGTTATTTTTTTAGATAGAAGAAGAAGTTAGGAAAATTATTTCGAAACAGTCCAAAACAAATTGGGTCATCATCAGTTACCCTAATTATTTTTACTATTATACAGGGTGATATTTGATAAGAAAAGAACATCTTAACAGTCAAGTTCAGTCACCCATAGCTAGGAAAATTGTTACGATTCTTTTCATTATATTAAACCCTTAGATCGATCCAGATATTTTGAATTAATATCAGTCATTAAATTCAGCTGTTAATAAAATCTGAAAGTTATCAAACCAAGTTTCATCAAATATCTTTTTATTTTAAGGGTGGAAAAGCATCGAATGACTTCTCCCGTCTGGGTGAGGCGAGAGGGAGTGTCAGACTCTTACTGACTAAAAACCACCCCGTTCCTACTTCTGCATTTCGAGACGGAGCCCCAGTAACCCGTTAGGTTCTCCGAGGCTTCATCAAAAAACTTGGAAATACTTTGTATTACTAAGTCTAAACCTTCAATTAATTTTCAGATGGTCTTCAACTCTTCGTGGACGGTGAGCAGTATGGGAACATTGACCCTGGCGATGGTTTCTTCTCTACCGCTCGGCAGCACGCAGTCCCTCATGCTTCTAACTGGTTGAGAGGAACTGTAATGGCGCCTCTTGATGAAACGGTAATATATTTTAAAATTACATTTAGTTATATTTATTATGGAATAGGGTGGCGAGTTAGCAATCGACACCAATCATAGATACCAGATAAGGTACGATTGCGTTGCTAGCCTTTTGGGGATTACGGACCCGCGGAAGACGCGCCGGAGAAGACGCGCCGAAGTTCAGGCTTTGGAACAGAGCGGTTTTTAATCAGTAAGAGTCTCATATTTCCTCTTGTCTCACCTGAGTTGGGATAAGTCATTGGATTATTCCCCCCCCCTCCCCTTATGGGGTAGAGGATAGGACCTCCAGATCTGACGTTACACAACACTTCCGTCGTGTTCTATGTGGCCATGGTATTAACTATGAATGAGCAGACATATTTGTGCTGCATCTCCCACGTTATTTCTGAAAATGATCTGCTAAGTAACACTGTTACACGTCAATACTTTAATTCAAAGCTAGATCGATGACTGCCCTACAAAGAAATTTTGAAACATATTCAGAGGTAGGTATACATAAATATTGTAAGTTAAGCATTTAATATACGTATCAAAAATGGACACAACAGTCCATTGTCAAAGTCAAAGTCAAAATCATTAAATTTATTTCAATTAGACCAGGATGGCACTTTTGAACGTCAATAAAAATTTTTTGAAGTGAAACTAGTTGCTCATTCCAAGGTGTAGATTCCTATGGAGACGAACGAGCAAGAAACTAAATAGGTTTTTTTTCTATTAGGTTTACAATACGATTCTCTAGTAACATAGTTTTATTGGTTCGATTGTGTGAGAACAATGGAACACCTAAATCCAAGTCAACCATTTCACCAATTTGAAAATCACACACAACCGAAAAAAAAACAGAAAATAAGATAAATGTGAAAGAAGAATTCCAAAAATAAAAATAGCCCAAAGTCCAAGACAATCGTCAACAGAAATCCAAGAATAAGTCACATGGGACCTCTAGACCAAAGATTAAAAACATTTTATTTTTGGCACGCCCTCTAGAGGACTGCGACAATTATTTTTGATTTCTCGAAGGTCCTCCCTGAGCAAATGAAAATCCATTGAAAAATTCATCTTATGTCATCTTTTGTAAGATAAAAAATAAATAATAGTTTTTAGCACGAATGGATCAGCTCGATCGAAGTGATACTATGGGCTTTAAAGAAAACCAAAGTGAAGTAACGAAGCTCTATCTCCTTTCCCAAAACACTAGTAACACACTTGTACAGACTGCACGGTTGGCGCGGTGGCCGGGCAACTGGCTGCCGCGCAACGTGTCGTGGGTTTTATTCCCACACGGAACAACGCTTTGTATAATCTACAGATTGTTGTTCCGTGTCCATGGGTGGAATTGTTTTGATTACTTATTAACTGGTGATCGGTCAGCTCCTTTACTACTATATCCCATAAGAAATGTTACCTTAGCATTGACGGTTGGCAAAAAAGACATGAACAAATTAATTGCTTCCAACTGCACGGAGAAGACTATGTTCAATAATGGACTTGTGGTTGATACAATGTCGATGGTCAAAAATCTAACCGTAGTTTCCTTTTCCAGTTCTACATATCCCTTGGTCTTCGTGTGGGAGGTGTCCATGATTTTGCTGATGATATTCCTGACAAACCCTGGAGGAACCGAGGCAGTAAGGCCATGTTGGACTTCTGGAAACACAAGACATCCTGGCACCCTTCCTGGTACAACACCAACTTGAAAGTGGACTATGTCAAAGTTTTCGCGTTGTAGACTTTGTATTGTAAATTATGAACTGTGATGAATATGAGATTAAAATATGTATAAACAATTTATATATGAATAAGAATTAAATAATTAAATGATAATTTTGATATTAGTTTGTTTTTTGTTGCTTCTATTAAACCTTGAACTTTGTTTAATCGTTTAACCTTTCACCATCCACCCGACACACAGTGTATTAGCTATTGTGTCTCATATCGACGCATTCAAGCAGTTAATTCTGCTTCTGGCGCTATAATAGATCTTAGAGTGTACACATAACATAACATCACGCCTTTTTATCCCCGAAGGGGTAGGCAGAGGTGCACATTATACCACTGTACAATGTAACACCCACTTTTCACTATTTATGTTATGAGTCCCATGTAATAGGGGGTGAGCCTATTGCCATATACCGGGCACAATTCCAGACTCCGTGCTACTACTGAGAATATTTAAAAACCCAGTAATACTTTGCCCGACCCGGGAATCGAACCCGAGACCCCTTGCCCAGCAGTCGTCGCACTTACGACCACTCGGCCAACGAGGCAGTCAGCCCAGGGGTCTTGTTTTTATATTAATTATCGTGAGACATACTAAATTAACTAAAAATCGCGGGTTACTCACGTGAATATGCTGAGAAAAGCTCTACTAGTTTCGAACCACAAAGGGGTTCTTCCTCATGAGCAGCGTGCGCGGTCGCGGCGATGTCGCGCAGCCTACAGCCTACATCGCCACGACCGAGCCCGCAGGGGTCCTGTTAGTTACTCCTGTCTGTTGTCTAAATGATCTCATGTCTAAATAATCTTAAAAAGTACAGATAACTCGGAAAAAGTCACATTGGTACTTTGCCGTTGTTAGGTTTTGAACCCGCGCCCTTCGTCCTAAACCTCCGAGGCACCACAATAACTATTATTTTAAGTAACTGCACTGAAAACGAAATGTACTGCACTGGTAGTGCCAAGTACCAGCAAGATTTATGAGTCACCTTGATATCGAAAAACTAAAGAATTAATAATAACATAGACTTCTAAGAACGAAAAAGTATTTTTGTCGAAATTATCCTTGTAAAACCTGACCTGCCGAAACCGGCCCGAAAGACGAAACTTATATTTACAAACTTTTTATTTTTGGTCAGTCTGATATTATACGGAGACATGGCGTGGTGTACAAAAATTATTTACATATTAGTGTTTGTTGCACTATGCGATGGACAGACAGATTTTCCTATCGCGACTCCTACAGTGGAAGCATTCCAACCAAAAGGTTTTAGAGTAATACTAAAAGGTGAGCTGTATTTTATTACACAATCATATTTTTATATAATGTATTTAAGTATGTATGTATGTACATCTACTACTTTATAAATGTTAAACTAATTATATTATGTTAAATAATATGTCGAAGCATGGCTCTCCCACACTTTTTTATTTTTATTTATGTACTTTTTTCATGGATGTAGGATCAATGACGATATAAAATTGTCAATAAAATTATAATAATATACATAGGTAGGTATTCATAATAGAATACTTTCTGTTATACATAACTTTCTTACAATTTTTTCATTGTTCGAATTCAAAATTGTTTATTTAAGCCTGGAGGTCGTCATCGGATCGATTAGCGATACGGAAAAATCATTTCGAACGTTTTAACCTCTGAGCATATCGGAGCTATTTTTAAAGGCTATATTTGTTCTATTTATTACGCTGACCTCATAGACGAGTATACAAAGAGACTATAAATAACAATTCAGATGAAATCTACCAAATAGTTGAATTCTCACAAGATAGCTCGCCTCGAAAATATGAGTTGAAGTTAAGAAATAGTCTCTCATTTGAAGGTACATTTTATCAGTGTGGTTGTTACCAATCTTATACACATACATACATAAACACGCCTTTTACCCCCGAAGAGGTGGGCAGAGGTGCATATTATGCCACTGTACAAATCTTACATATTAATTCAAATTTAATAATATATTAGGACTGCCTCGTTGGCCGAGTGATTGCAAATGTGACTGCCGGACAAGGGGTCTCGGGTTTGATTCTCGAGTGAAGCAAATGTATTAATGGGTGTTTTTATAAATTCTCAGTAGTAGCACGGAGTCTGGAATTGTGCCCGGTATATGGCAATAGCCCCCCTATTATATGGGACTTATAAAGTAAATAGTGAAAAGTGCTGTTACATTGTAGTGGCATTAAGTGCCGTAATGTGTACCTCTGTCTACCCCTTCGGGGATAAAAACGCGTGACGTAATGTAATAATATTTCAACGGAATTATTTTTAGATGACGGCTATTCGTTCGTTGGGTTCCGAGGAAATATCAACGTTGATTTCAACAATGGTCTCAATGAGGGCCAAATACACAAAGATATTACGCATGCACAAAAAGGCTACTGGATCTACAGGAACCGTGAGGTCAAGTTGAATATTGGAGACACATTGTATTACTGGTTGTTTGTCCAGAAGAATGGAAAAGGACAATTTTTGACTGAGTTAGCATACACAGTAACTCGTAAGTATTTATTTACTTGTGTAATAATTTATTATCAAGAACAAACTCTTGTGACAAACGATAAGCTGTAAACAGAGAATCTAAGATCGTCATTCATTTCTCTTGGACACTCCTGCAGAATGGCTTGCAGGAGTTGCAGCGGTTTTGGGAGGTAATAGCTGGCTTGTTCCATAAAAAAAAGTTGTAATGGTGCATCCACGCAGCACGGCGGCACTGCCGCTGCCGGCGGGTTGCCGACAAGCAAAGCCGGCCGGTAAGCTCCGCCAGCAAGCGTCGCTAGCAAGCACGGCTTTAAACCTATATTCTCAGTTGTTTTGTGACTATCGGTGACGTAAGAAGCGTAAGCAGATAGGTACTGGTGACTAAATGGGCGATAATATTGCAATTTTTGCCGCGAATTTTGGTGTACTTACATTCTGTATCAAAAAAAAAGTAGCAAAAGAAGATTTTGGATGAGACCAAGTCTACGAAATAGGCGTGATGTTCCCAGAATGCTTCAAGAGTTTTTACGACAGAAAGTCATGGAAATCAGTCATTTCATACACTATGTCACACAACGCATATGAAACGATACCACTCTTATCGAAAGCCGCGATCAAACTGTTGGCCCGCTGCCGACGGCATCGCCGACAAAAAGGCCGCCGGCTTTGTTGCGAATGCCGAACACAAAGCCGGCGCGTGCCCTAGGGCAGTGGGGATCCACCATTATAGACGAGTACGAAAAGAGTTACGGTTAGTTAGTAGCTTCAATTATACTGGATAAAAAATCTTCAATTATACGGGGAGCAAAATCTTCAAGCATATTGGGTAAAGAAATCTTAGTACTTATTAACCCGTCGAGCGTCCGCGTTGCTTATGATCCAACGGGTGCACACGTGGCATTTGGAGAAAGAAAGGAAGAAAATGCATTTATTTGGCCATTGGCACACGAAAACAAGGATCATTACAATAGAAATAAAAAATACAGTCAAAATAAAAACAAAACATTAATAATAGATTTTATAAAAAAGAAAGCAGCATGGAGCATTTTTTCTCTGCTGGGTGCTCATAAGGACGCTCGAGGGGTTAAAAAAGAATAACAGACATGTAGAGACCGAAATAAGTATATATGTTAGTGCTCTAATCCCAAACTACTAAACCAAATTGAATAATGGTTCTTAATCTAGTTAATCATGTCGTGGTGGCCCGGAGGTTTAAGACGCCCACTTCTCATGCATGAGAGTGCGGGTTCGAAACCTACCAACGGCAAGTACCAATGTGACTTTTTCCGAGTTATATGTACTTTCTAAGATTATTTAGACACCACTGACAAACGGTGAAGGAAAAACATCGTGAGGAAACCTGGACTTATAATTTCTAATTATAAGTTTGAAATCGCATCCAACCCGCATTGAGCAAGCGTGGTGATTAATGCTCTAACCTTCTCCGTGTGAGAAGAGGCTTTGCTCAGCAGTGGGCATTTATAGGCTGTTGATGATAAATCTAGTTAATCAACGTGAGGACAAGGTCTGTATGTAGGGATGTCCGGAAACATCGAGGTACAACATCTTGGTTAAAAGACTTCGATAAAAAATAAAATATTACAATTTTATGTTTATATTTTCTAGAATTCGTAAATGAAAATGAAGCACCAGCATTACCGAAACCTGACAGTAAGCTGGAGTCTAGATTGGATCCTATAGACCAATCCTGTACAGCATCCAAAACCTTAGTCCAAGGCAAGTCCCGTGTCTGCGAGGGCGCCCTCATTTTCGAAGAAGACTTTGATAATCCCAACCTTAAGCAATGGACCCCAGTGGTACAGATTCCAGGAGAACCGGTCAGTTTCTGATTTAAGAAATTTATTTCTCATAAAAAGAATACAATTCACTTGAGATATGAGAAAACATGATAACTCAAAATTAAAGTACAGAATTTGTTATGTTTTCAAAAGTATGAGCATGCGGGCGGTACATTGAAATATTTTTTTTGTACTAAAATACATAATTAATTAAGGGTGTGTGGATGAGGGAATGTGGGTATTACTAAAAATATAACAAAAATAACTTAAAATGAAGAAAATTGATAAGCAGATGATACAAAGGGAAATTATTTTAAACAAGTATTCACCAATGTTTTTTATAACTAGATGTATCAACATACAGAAAAGCAAAAATGTGTCCTACTATCCGAGTATCGGTGTGGGCGATATTCTTCGGTGCTTGCCGAATTTCCGAATATGACCTTACAAAATTATGTAATGAACTTCTCTTTTTCTGTGCACGTCCTGGGACTTCAATTAAGTCACTTTAGTTACCCAAAAGTAGGGTAACCAGCCAGGTCGAGATCTAGTTAAGTATAGTAGCCCATAAACAATGATCTTCAAGTCTAATATTGATCGCCATTTCAGGATTATCCGTTCAATGCATATGATAATATCCCAGATCGCAATCTCAATGTCAAAGATGGATCCTTGGTCATCACTCCAATACTGACGGAATCACTGCACGGAGAAGACTTCATCTATAATTCAGTCTTAGATTTAGACGAAAGGTACCATCTATAATTATTATTGTCTACTCAAAATTATTCATTGGCATAATGCTTAGCTTCTATTTTTGGGTTACTCAACATTAACTATCGAGCAGCTTCAAATGGTTTTCAAACTTTCGATTATTGCCTGTCTATTATAAAAATAAGAAAAATTATCCAGCTGCGAACGCTATCAAGGTAATATATTTTAATTCGGATTTTTTGTTAAATCTAACTATACTTCGCAGATGCACAGGTGTAGCTCAATCATCTGAGTGCAGAGCGGAAGCTACTGGAGCTCAGATCCTGCCGCCTATCATTACAGCCAAGGTCACGAGCCGATACAGCTTCGTCTTCACATTTGGAAGAGTAGAAGTACGCGCCAAGTTACCTTACGGCAGTTGGCTGGTACCTGGTAAGACAATAAACTATTAAACATGGTTGCACATTCCAGCTTTAAAATATTAGCCACCACTACGCCAAATGGTTAGTGCTCAGTTTAAAGGCTCGAATCCACAGTGCTGGGTGAGGCGTAAGGGAGTGTCAGACTCTTACTGATTAAACCACCCTATTCCAACTCCTGCTTCAAGCCGGGGCCATAGTAACGTATGCCGAAAAACTAGGCAACGTTTACTATATCACAATATTAAGTACTACAGAAGTTTTTTCTTACAGAGATCAATTTGGAACCGTTAGAACATACGTATGGACTTAACTACGAATCAGGTTTGATGCGCGTAGCTTTTGTGCGCGGAAACTCCTACTTTGCCAAAAAACTCTATGGAGGGCCTGTTCTGGGTCATTCTGAACCTTTCAGGTCTGAGTTACTGCAAGAAAAGATTGGAAATGACAACTGGTATAAGGACTTTCACAACTATACCTTGATTTGGAAACCAGGTGAGAAGTTATTTAAACAAATAGGTTGTTTTTCTAGAGGATTTTTTTTTCAATTATTCATCAACAATTATTGTTGCTGATCCAATAAATATTAGAAATCCAATAAAAATTACCATAATTATTATTGTACACACTAGTTCTAATTTCAGGTTACATGCAATAGATACATAATTTAGTATTTGTCAATGATCATTGTTAGCATTTCTATGAATATACAGAATCAAAAAAAATATTAGACCATCTTTGATATTTATCACGTGTCATAAGTACGTAGATTGGTGCCCGATAGATTTATCAAAAATATGTAGTTATATAAGGGGCAAGTAAACAATAAATTCGTTATTTGTTAAAGATGGCATAGAGCTACTGGTGGACAATGAGAAGTATGGCGTTGTGAACCCTGGAAGTGGCTTCTCGGAGAAAGCACTGAAGCACAACATCAAACACGCCACGTCTTGGAATAAGGGCACTATCATGGCGCCTTTTGATAAAATGGTAAGGAATTCATGAAGAAAATTATAATCTGATAATTTTCCATGCAATTTTACCCGCTGCTCATCTTCGATTAGGCATACCATGATGTTGAATAGTCTATCTGCAGCCTTCCAAGATATAAGGCGGATTTAACACAAAAATATTGCAATCCCTACATTATTATCTCATTTCCAGTTCTATTTGACCTTGGGTCTTCGAGTGGGAGGTATCAACGACTTTGAAGATACAGTGGACAATAAGCCCTGGAAAAACAGTGAAAGCAAGGCCACGCTAAAGTTCTGGAACGCTAAAAGTACCTGGTACCCCAGCTGGACTAATAGTGCTCTAAAAGTTGACTCTGTTAAAGTATATGCTCTGTAGGTTTGCGGTCATATGCAAAAAATATATTTTTCAATTTGTGCGTGTTCACTTTTTGAATTCCTATTAGAGGGTCCTGTCCTATTGTAGGGTTTTATACAATAGTGTAATATTTAACATAATAGGCTTTTGTCAAATAACAATAAAAACAATGAATGAATGTTTCTAGGCGTAAATTGTAATATTTATACAAGGAAAACCGAAATAATTCCTCATAAAAATAAGACTATTGTTATTTTTACAAATTAAAATAAAAAAATACCTCACTGGCCCGTCCGCCGTGAACGCCAATCAGAACGTATTACGTCACATAGTGATATATAAAAACTTCGGACGTTTAATGTCATTTCGACGAAATCAAATTAGTTAGTTATTATATAGTAATCAAGTTACTTTGACTTTAGTTATGGTAAATTTTTATTGAAAAAAGAATGAAAGTAATTACAAGTCTTTGTTTTATACACAGTTTTATTGGTTCGATTGTGCGAGAACAATGTAACACCTAAATCCAGTCAAAGAGATCGAAAAATGGCAATTTGTTTTCAATAAAAAAAAAATATTTTTGTTAAACATTTATGAGTAGGTTTACTGAGAATCCACTTCAATAATATTGTAACTGAAGCAATATGCTCCTATCTAGTTTAATCTTGTTGATCAAAAGCACAAAAATAGAAGACATGACCCCAAAATCAGATCTATGGCCAAGTCAGGAGTCAGGAGCACAACGATCCACTACGTCTGATTTAAGTTGCTTTTATTCTGTACATGAAAACGAAGCCCCGCTTAGCGGGGCTTTGAAAGAAAGAAAGAAATCATTTATTTGCTAATAATGTAGGTATATATATATAAGTTGGATTGGAGTTAATTGACCCAGTACATTTTACCTTTCGGCATGCAAATTAAATTACAATGTGATTTGAATGTCGTCAAGTAGATAACTAGGTATACAGTCAAAATTTTAAAATAATTGTAAAAAAAATGCTAAAATGCTACGATCAATTTATAAGCCATACAAAAAGAAATAATTAAATATGATGCAATGTCAACGTGGGTACTTAGTCCAAAATATAATGTTACAAAGTTTATGTCAAGAAATGTCAAATGTTACAATTAACAATAAATTATGTCGACGATTGCAGATATCAAACTACCGAAGTATCTTAATTGATGTCATAATGTAATGCCATAATGGTCACTAACGCAATCACCACATAAGCGTTTCAATCAGAGCAAGACATATTACAGTGTTACCCAAGACATATTAAAGTGTTTGTTTGTTTTGTCAACCTGATTTATCTAACTGTACTGACATCGAACTTACGATATCTATTATATTATAATACGTAACCATACCAACTGCGGGATTACCTGATAATTACCAGGAAAAATGCACAGGCACATTCAATATAACACTTACTGTCACCATGTATGTTATGTGTAGGTACGCCAATCGCCTTACAGCGGGCTCATCTATTATATCTATTTACTAATAATAAATATACAAGCAAGTGCAAGTGCGCCTACCGGGCAAGGGATCTCGTGTTCAAATCCCGGGTCGGGCAAAGTATTACTGGGTTTTTTAGAATTCTCAGTAGCATAGAGTCTGGAGTTTTGCACGACATATGGCAATAATCTCACCCCCTAATTACATGGGACTCATAACATAAATAGTGAAAAGTGGGTGTTACATTGTACAGTGGCATTAAGTGCCGTAATCTACACCTCTGCCTACCACTGCGGGCGTGATGTTACTAATATATAAATGTATATGTGAAAATGTTGAAATTACCAACAATATTAATATTCAAGTGTGGGAGAGCCATGCTTCGGCACGAATGGGCCGGCTCGACCGGAGTAATATCACAGCCTCACAGAAAACCCACGAGAAGCAACGCTTGCGTTGTGTTTTGTCGTGTGAGTGAGGTTACCGGGGGCCCAAACACCCTCCCCTTCCCCAATCTCCCCAATTCCTGAATCCCCAACGATTCTCAAACTCCTAATCCCTAAAAGGCTAGTAATGCCTTTGGTGTTCCAGGTGTTCATTGCCATCAGGTGATTCGTCTGCTCGCTTACCGGCTTATGCCATAAAAAAAAATTAAAATGGATTTCAATGTATATTTTAGATTATTAATCTTCACGTTCAAAGTCACAGGTATCAACTAGCCACGATTCTTAATGTTTACACCACAAATATAATTACTTATCCTCAAGGTCAATAACCGGTTTTTTGCTCGAATAACATTGCTGGCTTCGATCGTCTTGAGGCGAGTCGAGTAGTCTTTATTTTCCAACCATGCAGGGGACTTTTCGATGCAATATAAAAGGTGACGTCATTTTTTAAATATAAAGGCCGGTCGACCTACCAAGCCGTTGTCATTGACTATGAATCTCCTTCATAAGAGAGTTTACCACCTCCATGCTTGGCATACGGAGCTTCGCAATACGGCATTTTACAACTAATCAAATTCAATACTTTTATCGAAACGTCAAAAACGATATTGTTCTACCAAAAACTAACTTATGACGTCATCATATATTCGAGTCAAATAGCACACTTATTTCTGAAAACATTGAGAGAATAAATCGAAAATTAAGTATATCGTCAAATGTATGAATGAAATAACAAAATTAATTGATATCTGTCTATTATACCCTTAGTTAAGCTATTGATTCCTTCCAAACATTATAATGATTGAATGATATTATAATTAATTTTGAATATTTAATTGGATTGAAGAATCAAAATAATTGATTTTTGACACAGGAAAATACCCAATTCAAAAATGTCAGGTTCGTGAAGGACCTTTGCGGTCTGGACTCTATCAAATGTGTAATCCTTCAATAGGTTTTAGGACGCCCGCGGGTGTGCAAGAGAGATGCACATGTATATTAGTCTACCACTAGACAGCTGAAACAGTCGGCTATAACTTGTTTTAAGACCTGCCCTCGCATCGTCCGTCCATTCAACCTGTACAGAATCCAGTTGTAAACTAGTTATTAACCTGACTTCGTTCATTTTAATTTTAATCACAAAAGCAAGCATCAATCGAGCACTTGTCACTTAGTAGCATGTGTCGGAATGATGGTCAAAATTAGAATGCTCAAAATTCAGGCATGTCGGCGAATTGATGAGCGTTCGATTTTTGAAAATGGTTGAGTATTTATTTATTTATTTTACATAAGTACAGATACAGACGACAGATTGAAATCGTACACAAAAATCTTAATTATAAATAGTAAGCGAACCTGAAGTCCAATTACAGCTGTACATAATCCATTTATATCAAATTACATAAACAATTCCCAAATGTTAATCCATTTTCTGTAATAAATTTTGTTCAATTTTAGATAACTAAAAATTACTAAAAAGCGGCCATACAAGAAATCAAAGGTAACAAAAGGTACAAAGGGAACAACTGAATAAGTGAACAACAAACTTGAAACAATGGCGTAACACATATCATGCTCATCGAGCTTCGCTGTGACGCAGAAGGATTTTTTTAAAAGCACTGAGTTTGTCATGAATTATATCCACTTGAGCGCAAATAGAGCAAATAGAGTATGCTTAATAACTTCGTTCATGCTAATTACAATCACGAATGCATTCATCAATGGAACACTATGTTATTTCGATGTTGCATGTGTCGGAATGTTGTTCAAAATTAGAATGCATGCAAAACTAGAATGTTCAAAATTCAGGCATGTCTGCGAATTGATGGGCGTTTGATTTTTGAAAATGATTGAATATGCTCAATAACTTCGTTCATGCTAATTTCAATCACGAATGCATTCATCAATGGAACACTTGTCAATTGGTAGCATGTGTTAGTATGTTATTCAAAATTAGAATGCTCATTTTCGGCATGTTGTGAATTGACAGGTGTTCGATTTTTGAAAGTTTTTGAGCAGAATGCTTTTTGTCCCGGCTTCAAAATAAAACAAATAGGAGATTCTCCGTTTAACCTGTATATATACGTATGTTCGTTTGTCCGCGATTATCTGAAAATGTTTGTTACACTTAGTAAAAGGTTTAAGTATATTAATAAACCGATTTCAAAAAAAGAGGGTTAAAGTGTGTATTTTTAAATGTAGATTATAAGATAACTATTAGCATGCTATTTTAGATCGTGTGTAACAGAACTTTTAGTTTTTCAGTCTTTTAATCAACAAGATATTGAGACTGCCTCGCTGGCCGACTGGTCGCAAGTGCGACTGCCGAGCAGGAGGTCTCGGGTTCGATTCCCGAGTCGGGCAAACTATTACTGGGTTTTTAAAAAATTCTCAGTTGTACCACGGATACTGGAATTGTGCCCGGTATATGGCAGGAGGCTCACCCCCTATTACATGGGACTCATAACATAAATAGTGAAAAGTGGGTGTTACGTTGTACAGTGGCATAATGTGCACCTCTGCCTACCCCTTCGGGGATAAAAAGCGTAATGTTATGTAATCAACAAGATATTTATACAGACGACTAAGTTATCACACAGTTTGTTATTACACTTATACATATTAAAAGCCCGTTACAGTGCATTACTGAACTACTAAACCTCTGTTAAATAAACTACACAAGTGGTGTTTGCCACAATCACCATACTTGGTAACCAGCTTGGAGATCATAAGCCTGCAGGCATAAGCCTTAATCTTTTAAACTGTGATCAAAGTACTACAGTCTTTGTTAAATGTCACAGCGTCGCCACTGGACACCCGCAGCACAAAAGGAGTTACAAAACCGTTGCCAGCCTTCTAGGTATTGGAGATGGGGGAGGATTAGACCTCTGGTAACCTTACTCACACGACAAAACACCACGTAAGCGTTGTTTCACGTCTGTTTTCTATCATGCCGTGATATCTTTACAGGTGAGCTGGCCAATTCGTAAATTAATATTATTATATGTCTTACTTTAATTGCGAAATCTATAGTCGAAAGTATTTTTGGAAATGCCATTAAAAGTACATATTTATTTGCTTCAGAGAACATTTGTCATATGGTATCTATAATAATTTCTGAAACTAGAACTGGGAAACAGTCATGTTGGTACTTGCCAGGTTTGGAACGCGCACCCTCATGAATGAGAAATTGGCATCTTAAGCTTTCAGGCCACCAGGGCCTTTTAAATACGCTATATCATTTAAAACATGGGCTTATTATCTATTTCTTCGTTTTAAGTTCATCACAGTCATAGTTTTTTGCTTGACTAACCACAGAACACAAATAATTCATTCCGACTTATTTACTTAAGTATAAGTAAAGTTTCGTTTATGTAAACATTATTATTGTATTAGGTATACCATATATAACTTTAAAATACGTAGTTTTAGCTAAGAATCATAAAGTTTTGACCATACGGTCGGCGCGTTGGGAATTCAAACAAAATACAAAGTTTAGAATTTATATACCTAATGCTATTCTCGGACAGTTAAAGTAGATTATACACAATATTGTATTTTAAACTATAGACTTTAGAAATACCACCAAACCAACAGATGGTTCGACACAAGCACTATTTTTGAAATAGAAATGGACTGGACACGTAGCACGCCTCCAAGATCAAAGATGGGCTAAAAGCATCACAACGTAGAAATTAAACAAATTTTAATTGTTTTTTGTTGACGTTCAAAAGTGCCTTTCTGGTCTAATTGAAATAAATGATTTTGATTTTGATTTTGACTTTGACTTTGACTTTGACAAATAGCTGGATCAAACTGGATACAAACTGTGAAGGCAAGAGACGATTGGCAAAACTTGGAGGAGGCGTTTACCTGCAAAAGGATTCTCGCTGACTAAATACAACAATTTACTTAACACAATAAGAAACAAGCAATTTAGTTAATAAATCCTTAGAAAAATATCGTATATACCATCTTAAGAGAAATACAGGCTTTTTTAACCGACTTCAAAAAAGGAGGAGGTTATACGTTCGGCCGGTATGTTGCTTTTTTTTTTTTTTTTTTTTTGTATGTATGTACGCGCATAACTCTGAGATGCGTGAAGCGATTTGCAAAATTCTTTTTTTGTTTCAAAGGGTATACTCCCAAGATGGTCCCATTTCCATGAGGTCAGGATCTGATGATGGGATCCTAGGGAAACCGAGGGGAACTTTCGAAAATTCTATGGGCGGGTAGTGCGTCTATTATGTTTTTCAATTACGATTTTAAACACTACAATTTGATAAGGGTCTGGGGTCGACCTGATGATGGAGCCGACAGACAGTCGAGGGAACTCCTCAGCGGTTCATATTAACTACCTTGTGTTTGGGCTTGATTAATTTGTATTGATGAGGACTTTACACCTAGATAGAGTTGGGCTGTCATTAAGGGTCTGATGATGAAGAAGTGTAATTGTTAAGGGAACTCCTCAACGGTATATTGTAAATACCTTGTGGTTGGGCTTGTATAATTTGTATTGATTAGAACTTTGCACCTATGTAGATTATAAGTAACAAAACAGGTATATGTAACTTAACACTGAAAATGATAAAATAATAAAATAAAAACTGCGTTTAAAAAACCGACTTCAAAAAACCAAAAACTAATAACAAACAAAAAGTCAAAACTAAAAAGCAAAAAATAACTATTATGAGTACTTATAGGTTACCCACCCACTGATAGGTTAGAAGTCGGTGCCATAAGCTCATATCATAATGATATAATTTAATGTCCACAAAAATGTGAATTAGGTATCTATTAAAGTTTAATGAATAATTTTGTATGGAACTTATGGCACCGACTTCTTACCTATCAGTGGGTGGGTAACCTATAAGTACTAATAATAGTTATTTTTTGCTTTTTAGTTTTGACTTTTTGTTTGTTATTAGTTTTTGGTTTTTTGAAGTCGGTTTTTTAAACGCAGTTTTTATTTTATTTATATAAACTACAGACTATCTTGATGGTAAAGTGGTCATAAATGAAACTACTTTCAAGGGGAGTGGGTTCATTCGGTTATTCGAAAATATTTCTATAATGTTACGGAGTCTGAAATAGGGTAGTTTCTAGAGTAAGAAAATTAAAAATCTAATCCGTCAGTTAGATAATGAAAAAATATTAGACACGTATTTTTTTATTTTCTCGTATAAAGTGACAATACTCAAATAAAATGGCGTTAAGTTTAGGAGTGGGAGGTAATTACGTCAGAACGTGGTACATTTTGTAGCACGCTGTGACGTCACGAGACATTTCAAATCAATATATCGTCAAAAGCATTTAATTTTGTGAGAAATGAAATACGAGTCTAATGTTTTAAAATAATCTACCAGACGGACATTAAAATAAAATTTAGGAAACTACCCTACTGTACCCAATAAAAAATATATATAATATGTATGTATGACTGTTATGGAGGTGAGAGTGAGCCTACTCCTCTGAGGTAACCTCTGAAAAGTGGACACCACACACACTTCTATGAATCAGGGAATAAAGACTCAAAATCATAACCCTTTTTACATTACATTACAAATCCTACAAAAATCTTTAACATACTTACAAAATAAAACAACAATGTTAATTGGACAAAAACCGCCGTAGAAATGACGTCACACCGCACCGCACCGCTATTAAATAAATGTGGTCGCTTCCTTAGCAAAAAACATATCACTATATTACTACAAACTCGATTTAGCTCCAGTCTGTCATTACTTACGTATCGAATCACACACATCTAGTCATACATTTTAAAATAAAACAATAAATTCATTTTAAATGAATACCGATTCCATTTAATATTATCTTGGTTTGGGAACATTAAAATGAAGTGGGTGTTTGTGTTGTTATTGTGTGTATTTGTGTTTGATGTAGTGTTCGGTTATGAAGTACCGCCGGCTAAGCTGGAAGCCCTGTACCCAAAAGGACTAAGGGTTTCCATTCCAGGTTAGTCATATGATTTCTATATACTTTTGCTAGGCATTCAAATCCCTACAAATTTAGCGACATAAAAAGGCAAAATTTTGCGTCATAAAAAGGCAAAATTCCCTAAATTTTGACAGGAATTCTGACATACAGACAATAGTCAAAATCAAAGTTAAAATCATTTATTTAAATTAGGCCAGGAAGGCACTTTTGAACGTCAACAATAAAAACAAAAACAGCGAAGCTATTTGCTCATTCCAATGTGTAGATTCCTATGGAGAAGAACAAGCAAGATACTCCATAGGTTACTCTTTGCCAATCAGGTTCACAATACAATTATCTAGTTACATAGTTTTGTTTTTTCGATTGTGTGCATACAATGTAATATTATAAATACGAAACTATGTGAGTTTATATGTAAGTATGCCTGAAGGGATTGAATGAAATTTGGACCAGGAGTAGATTATAATTTGGAATACCACTTAAGCTATATTTCCCACGGGAATACGGGTGAAACCGGTGGAGGAAAGTTCCTTTTTAAAAGGCCGGCAACGCACCTGTGACTCCTCTGGTGTTGCGGGTGTCCTTGGTTGGCGCTGATCGCTTACCAACCGGTGACCCGTATGCTCGTTTGCCTCCTATTCCATAAAAAATACTAGTAATCAATACTTAGTTTTAGTCTGTCAGTCAGTCAATCACTAGTATAAAAAGAGATACTCATATATACAATGATTATTTTGACCTCTGACTGACTGGTCGCCACGTAAACAAACGCCGCGGCTATGTGTGTACACAAGTAGTTATGTATATCTATCTGATCATAAGAACTGGTGAACAGATTTTAATGCGGTTTGTGAATGACAGATGAACAAACGTATTCATGACAAAGGTTACATACGTATAAATTACATTTTAAGTATAATAGTTTTTTTAAGGGGGTTAAATCATCGAATGACTGCTCCCGCCTGGGTGAGGCGGAAGGGAGTGTAAGACTCTTACTGACTAAAAACCACCCCGTTCCTTCCCCTGCACGTCGAGACGGAGCCCCGGTAACCCGTTAGGTTCTCCGCGACTCCGAATCGGCATCAGCCCTATTAGGACCTATCCGTGGTGGTCTGATGGTTCTTTGAGGCGCGCGCGGAACGCGACACGCCGTACGCTCGGATCTGGTTTTGGTCCGCAGGCCCGCGCTTACGATGGCCAAAGATCGTCCCGCGATCCCCGACGCCCGGAAAGTATAATAGTATAGGAGCGGTTTCTAATCTGTAGTCAGTAAGAGTCTGACACTCCCTCCCGCTTCACGCATTGAGAACGCATATGATGATGTTTGATCTTTATAAAAGGTCATCAAGACGTTTCCATCCATTCTTTGTTTTACTGAACCGATTGCGGATTTCACACCTCAAAATGAGGTATTTTATATTTTCGTCACGTAATATTTAGATAACAGTACTAGCTGGATATTTACTCGTGTTATTTACTTTTTGTTTTTTCATTAGAATTTGTAAGTTACATAACAAAACATCACGCCTTTTATCCCCGAAGGGATAAACAGAGGTGTACATTATGCTACTGTACAATGTAACACACATTTTTCAATAGTGAAAAGGACTCATAACGTAACTATTAACGTTATGAGTCCCATGTAATAGGGGGCGAGCCTATTGCCATATACCGGGCACAATTTTAGACTCCGTGCTACTACTGAGAATTTTTTAAAACCCAGTAATAATTTGCCCGTCCCGGGACTCGTATAATTGTAATTTAGGAACTACTTATTATATATTGCTAGAGTCAAATATTTTTATGGGAAAGCGAACAAATGTAAGTACCTATCGCCTGATGATAAGTTATCAACGCTAAACCTAACCATGTGAAAATCCTAGTGTTGGGCAACGTTGAAAAAATAGCTGTCTAACATAACTATATGACAAGAACTGTTTTAATTTCTGTCTGTCTCGTTTACAAATAATACGTACCACTTAGGTAAAGATAAATAATGAAGGTCATAGGTCATAGAATTATGTAACAGTAGTTATGTAAAAGTTTGGGATTCCCAATTTTTTGTGTAGGCTAATCAAATCATATACTTACATAGGTATATTAGAAAAAAAAGTACGTCTTGAAGAGCGTTGGTAAGCCCCGGTATCTGGTAAAAGATAATTCTAAACCTTATTTATAATTATGTATAAAAGGATTATCTACTTAATCTCAATACTTTTTGAGTACCGTCAATACTCTTTATATACTCAATACTCAATACTCTTTGAATACCGTCATTATAGACACAATTAAAGAACAATAGGTTGCGGTCACCGGTGTCCGCTTGGTGTTTGACAATTTAAAAAACAAAACAAATGAATATCTCGTTATCACCAGTAAACGTGTCTATTTAAGTAATTGCTATACTAAAAACTGGATTACTAAATGTTTAAAGTTGTCAAATTCTTATATTTCATACCCCGACCCTTTCTGACAATTTGAACAATATCACATTCAAAATGACAAATCTATGCCAATTCGCCAATTTACCTACTTTTCAAAAATTTCGATAACATTAAGCCAGAGAAATATCAGACGTATAGTAAGAGTGATAAGATTGACATTCATAAATCCCGGTGTTAATGTTCACTGGGCTACCAGCTTATAAATCTTTTGCATAAGGACAAAAGATTCCACTGAATTCCTTTCATCTCGATTATGAAGTTTATTATGATTTCAAATTAAGCATTTATTCAAGCTGCTATCAAAGAAATTCATCCGGATTTTTATTTATGGACTAAGCCGGTAAACGAACAGACGGATCACCTGATGGTAAGCCATCGGTGCCGTCCAAGGACAGCTCAAACACCAGAGGCGTTACAAGTGCGTTACCGACCTTTTGGAGGTTAGGGATTTGGGGGTGGGAGAGACTGGGGAGGGAAGAAATTGGGCCTCCGCTAACCTCACTCATGCGGCAAAACAAAACACATGCATATCATGCCAGTTTTCTATGAAGGTTCGTATGGAGAAGAGCGAGCAAGAAACTCCTTATAACTCTAAAAAAATATGTTTTACCATCTTGATTTCAATACATAATGTACAATGTAAATCCCAAAAGGTCGTCAGCGACCAAAACCTCAGGAACCGGTTGGATTCTGACGACAAAATTGTAAAATATTTTAATTAATCGTTCTGCGGTTTTCTATTCAATTCGATCGTTTGCGGTTTTATGTACAATCGAATCGAATTTACTAATTAATTGATAAATGATAACTATTCATATTGAATTTGGTTACATCATGTTGAAGTTTGAATTTTTGTTACAACACATAACATCACAACTTTTAATCCTTAAAGAGGTAGACAGGGGTGTATAACTGCACTATCATTGATTTATACAATAACTAGCTGACCCAGCAAACTATGTTCTGCCTAAAATTTTCTCTCTCACGTTTTAAACCTTCCCTGGACTTTCACGTACATTTCAAGACCAAAATTAGACAAATCGGTTCAGCCGTTCTCGAGTTTTAGCGAGACTAACGAACGGAATTTTATTTTTATTTATATTATTATTATTAAATAGGTACAAGGACTGCCTCGTTGGCCGAGTGGTCCCAAGTGCGACTGCCGGGCAAGGGGTCTCGGGTTCGATTCTCAGGTCATATGGCAATAGGCAATAGGCTCACCCCCTATTACTTAATACTTGGACTCATAACATAAATAGTGAAAAGCGGGTGTTACATTGTACACTGGCACTGGCTGTGCAGAATTGTGCATCTCTGCCTATCCCTTCGGGAAAAAAGGCGTGATGTTATGTTATGTTATGTAAATAGGTACAATGCATTATAAATTCAATATTTAAATGAACGAATTATTTGAGTGATTTGTAAATTAATGTTCCAAAGAGTTTGAATTAGCTGGAAAATATTCTGTTTACTCTGTCGTCGTAAGCTTTGAATGTTATGTATATGAACTATCTCTAAAAACCTATTTCCCGCTTTCAGATGATGGATTCACTCTCTTCGCCTTCCACGGCAAATTAAATGAAGAAATGGAAGGACTAGAAGCTGGCTACTGGTCTCGTGACATCACCAAAGCCAAGAATGGAAGATGGACCTTTAGAGATAGGAACGCAGAGCTAAAAATTGGAGACAAAGTATATTTCTGGACTTATGTTATCAAGAATGGACTGGGCTACCGACAGGATAATGGAGAATGGACTGTTACTGGTAAGTTCAAAGATTTTTTTATGGCATAGGGCAGGAAACGAACAGGCATATCGCCTCATCATCAGTAGCCTATAAGTGGGCACTGTTGACCAAAGGCTTCTAAGGCACGGAGAAGAATCACCACGCTTACTCAATGCGTGTTGGCGATTTCAAAATTATAACTAGGAATTATAAGCGTAGCTTTTGTCTCGATGTTTTCCTTCACCGGCGGATCACCTGATGGTAAGCAATCGGCGCTGCCCATGGACACCAGTAAGTGGGTTGCCGGTTGCCGGCCCGCCTATTGGTATCATGCAGTGGTAAAGTTAATTTTATAGGTTTAGTCTTAATTTGATGTGACTAATTATAATTTGATATGACTATTAATAATTTTACTGCCTCGTGGTCGCAAGTGCGACTGCCGAGCAAGGGATCTCGGGTTCAATTCCCAGGACGGGCATAGTATTACTGGGTTGTTTATAAATTATCAGTAGTAGCACGGAGTCTGGAATTGTGCCCGGTATATGGCAATAGGCTCACGCTCTATTACATGGGACTCATAACATAAATTGTGGAAAGTGGGTGTTACATTGTACAGTGGCATAATGTATAGATACCGCTGCCTACCCCTTCGTGATGATATGATCTTAATTTGATCATGCTTTTAACTCTACGGTTATGAATACATTTGAATCTCAAACCCTGTAAGGCCAAGCCAGTTTTATTTTCGTTTCATTAACATTCGATACCTTTATTTTCTTCAAATCTTGAACATACGTATAAGTGAATAGAAGCTACTTCTGCCAACTCACTTAGTTTAAATACTCAATGTTTATTATGTATATGACTTTGATAATCAAAATAATCAAAACAAAGTGCTACATAAAATAAAATTTTTAATAGGCAAAAGTACATTTATTGCTCATTAAAATCACCGAAAGTTACATTATCCACATTAAACTCTAATACAGATCGGTACAGGAAAGTTCTAGATTAAAAAAATGGCGACGCGACTTAGAGCCGCGGAGGATTCTTCAACACGTCCGTACGCGTCAGTGGTCGGGGCTCTCTCTCCTCCTCCACTCGCACCCCTGCGCTGGCGCGCGGGGTAGCGGGTGGCGGGAAGGGGCGGTCGCGAGCGCGCGCCTATTGGCTTCTAGCGTTACGTTATTACCACAGATATTAATACCATAGACTAGGTTATCTTTATTTTTAAAACCCCCGTTACATCCTCCCCCTCTAGCCTAACTAAGTGTCCCCGCAGTTGGGCTAGTCTAAATATCTACGCGGTCTGCCGCGCTTGCGTTTCTCGCGAACCGGATGTTCTATTTGACCCGCGAAGGGCGTGAGGTGCGAAACGTGATATTTCCCTAAGTCCGACCCGGTTTGTACGCTCTCCAAACCGTAAGTGGTTGGGCTAAAAACTTTCCCTATCTTATACGGGCCATCGCGACGAGGTATAAACTTCGCGGACTGTCCGCGGGCTGCGTCGTTAGGTCCTTGCGTTTTTAACAGAACAAGGTCACCTACCTCGTAATTTGACGATGGCCGTCTCTTCTGGTCAGCGTTCTGCTTCTGACTGGCTTGCGCTTTCTCATGTATATCCCTGGCCTCGTCTAGGGTCGCGGCCAACTTCCGTAGATAGGGCGTAATACTGGGCACGAAGTTGTCATGTTCTATGACGGCTCTCATGTCTACCTTGGGATCAGTAGGGCCCCTCAACTCTCTCCCGAAAGTGAGGTACGCCGGGGAATGTCCCGTGCTACTAGTGATAGCTGAATTCATAGCAAACCTTACTGAGGCGAGATGTAAGTCCCAGGTTGCATGGTCTTGGCCCACAAGTATGTAAATAATACTCAACGAAAGGTCACTTTATCAAAAGGTCAGGAATGTAATCTTGTAATAACTATTATTTAATGTATAGATTGTTATATATATTATGTATATATGATATTCGTACACACAACATATGTATACATACAATCAATATACGTAGCTATATGTTATGTATAACCGGTGCTAGTAAATTTTGAAACCAAAAGATTTAGAATTAAATCAATAACGGCGAGCATGCAAGAAAATACTGTTGAGGAAGCAAAATATTGTAGCAAATGGCGTCCTCTAATCTTTGCCTACCCCTATAGGTGACAGGCGTGAGGATATTATAGTATGTGTGTATGTAAAGAATTATCAGTAAGATGATACCCATTGAGAAATAGAAAAAATAACCAAAAAACATAAAATAATAATTTACGAAGCAAACTGAGGTCAGAAATTGGACGAGTATTAAGGAGAAGACCAATTTATTCTGATCACAGCATAATTCCTATGAATATACAATGTCAAAAACCTTTTCAAATATATACGTTTAAATCCGTGTTCAAACAATACATGCTTCAAATCAAAAGGGGACAGCAGAGTCCACTTAAAACATCTTAACACTCGTATTCAGCCATCTTTGTTTTAAAGGGTGTTCTCAAGCGCTCGTATTGTTTCTTTATTCTTCACAATGGGTTTTCAATGTCTTCTTAAGATTCTGTGTATTGATTCCTAGAATTCTGATGAAATATTTTTTAGCGACTAGCTTTTACTCGTGGCTTTGGGCGCCAGACTTTGGCGAATGTAATGTCATTTTTCTTCAAAGTTCTGGTTTAGCACAGAACAGTTTTGCTGGGTCTCTGTTCAATAAGCTGGCCTTTAGTCGGCGGTGTCACAAGTCGACACCCGCAGAAAGAGCATTGGAGACAAAATATGACTCTGATGGCAGAAAAAAAGAAAACGTAAATCCGATTGTACAAGGCACACGATATGATAGATTTTTCGTGAATTCGATTATCAACTTTATTCACACCATGTTCAGAGGAAACTTAATGTCATTTATCTGTGAAGTTATGGAACTTCACGGCAATATATTGAAATCTACATTAACCACAATTTTTTCTCTCTTTCAGAATTCGTCAATGACGCAGGCAACCCGGTAAATCCTCAAGATGGAAGTCCAGTCGTAGCAGCACCATTGCCAAGTCCTGCTCCTTTATCCGTATCATCAGACCAGAACCAGGCTTACTCAGAGCCTGCAGGCAGAGCTATCCCACCGAATATCCAGTACCCCTGTGAACTGTCCCTCTCCAAAGTCAACGTGCCTGGGTTTGTCTGCAGAGGCCAGCTGCTTTTTGAAGATAACTTCAATTCTGCACTTGAGAGGGGCAAGATTTGGACTCCTGAGATCAAGTTCCCTGGTGAACCGGTTAGTAGTATAAAACCTATAGAAACTCTTTCGTTACTGAGTAACTGGCTGACTGAATGACTGACGAAAGTACTGGACCTAGGTAGCTGAAACTTATCATGTATCTTCCTTGTGGAGTGTAGGCGAGCTTAAAAAAGATTACGCCTAAATTATATTTTTTTATATTTATATTTTCAATAATGAATTTGCTATATAGCTTCATTTGTCACCGATTTATTTAATACTTCTTACGCCAGTGTTTGGGCACCAACTCGCCTGTGGTATGCGATTATGTGGCGAACAATAGGCACGCCTACCCATTAACAACTTAGTTACTTGAAACTTGAAGAGACCCATGTTATAAGTAAAAAAAAGTAACCGATTGTATTTACAGCAACAAAGTTAAGATAATTTATGAAATCTCTATTAACGAAAAAGGAGTTACAAAATCTAGCAAAAACAGCTTAGACACAACTAAACGTACCCAGAATACAAATGAGCAAGGTTTCCAAAATATTTTCAATTAATTAATCAAAGAAAAGTTTTCTTTTTCTTAGAATGCTAAGTCTTATAGTGGGCGTGCTCAGGTACTGCCATTAATCATTTATTCATAATTTCTGATGCCTTAATAACTTTGAAAGCTCTTACAAGTTTTCTCTAAAATATTAACATCACGTATAATATTCCCCAAAAGTATATACAGAGTTATATACTCTTTGCTTTCGTCCCATGAGGGTAAACTTGCCGTTTTATAAAGGATAAAAAATAATCAAATTACGTTAGCGTCAATGCCAAAAATATTTGAAAAAAATATATGTTGAGGTACTAAAAAGGTAGTAAATATTTACAAAGAGATAAATTAGGTGTGTTGTCTCGACCTATGAAAAAAAAAATGGTCCAGACATCCTGATGTCAGAATGGCTGACCACTTTCTTTACGTGTTTTTTCTCTATCAGTTGAGGTACTAAATATTTGAAGTTAGGTATCAAATAGTAGCAAAAAGGTAGTAAATTTTGGTATTTCTAAACATCAAATATCCCTATTGGTGCAATCTTTCCTGCGTAGCATTTTTAGGGGTCCTGACGCTAACGTAATTACTTCTCCTGTCTTCAGTGAGGCAAGAGGGCTTATACTCTTACTAACTTTAGTGTAGGAGAGCCATGCTTCGGCACGAATGGGCCGGCTCGACCGGAGTGATACCACGGCCTCATAGAAAAGCGACGTGAAGCAACGCTTGTGTTGTTTCGTCGTGTGAGTGAGGTTACCGGAGGCCCAATTACCTTCCCCTTCCTCAATCTCCCCATTCCTGAATCCCCAACGATCCTCAAACTCCTAATCCCCAAAAAGCCGGTAAGGCACTTGTAACGCCTCTGGTGTTCCAGGTGTCCATGGGCGACGCCGATTGCTTACCATCAGGTGATCCGCCTGTTCGTTTACCGGCCATAAAAAAAACTAAAAACCACCCCATTCCAACTCCTGCTCTGTGCCGGTGCTGCGGTATATGGTAACCCAGAAACCGGGGCAGACAGAGCTAAGGAGCCTACTTTGATCCCTAACAACATAATATGACATTTGGGAACAGTTTGTGTTACCTAAAATCTGAAAAGGAATGTTCCTATCATAAGCCATAACTTACTATGAGGTGGGCCGTGTAGATTTTCGTCACAGTCGTAATAAAAAAAATCCTCGAACCAATCTTACCGATCATGCCTGGTGATCTACTGCCCAACAGCTATGTGTTGTTTAGGATTCTCCCGAGCTATAAATGCGTTAGCCTTTCTTACAATTGTGTTGTAATAATTTTTACCATCATGATCCCATGAATGCTAGACAATAAAATATAGATAGACGACTCATGTAGCTGGCTGGCAGGCCACAACTGTGTGCTTCTCTCGTTGCTATCTCCCTCGCACAGCAAAACTGTGGAATGATCTGTCGTCGGCAGTATTTCTGAACCGATACGACCTTCAAACCTTTAAGAAAATAGCGTATTCCTTTTTAAAAAGCCGGCAACGCACCTGGGGCTCCTCTGGTTTTGCATGCGTTTCCATGGGTGGCGCTGATCGCTTACCATCAGGTGATCCGTCCGCTCGCTTCCCTCTTTATGCATAAAAAAAATCAAATAAAATGCGAAGTCAAAATCAAAGCATTTATATCAATTAATACTTATAAAGATAGAATAATAAAACGTCAAATTTAAATTGTCCTTAAGTCTATTTGTCAGTTAAATTAGGTGCTCGTAAGAACAACACAAGTACGTAGGTCTGCTATCCCATCTTTGCTAAATGTATAATCCCTTAATCGGCTTTTGCGATACGTACAGAAATAATTCCTTATGGCATCGAGTGTTTCTTTCTTTATTGAAACATACAGTTTCCTTTTTCTTGTATACAAGCACTACTTTTATGGATTGTCAGTATGCATATGTGAGGACCATGTTATACTATAAGATTTTTTTGTTTTGTTTTTTTTTATTTTAGTAAGTTTTGTAATTTGAATTATAATGTTTGCACAATTTTTTCTGGTGAAGGTAGGGCGGCAAACGAGCAAACGTATCACCCGATGGTAAGCAATCGACACCGGCCCTGGACATTAGCAAGACTAGAGATGTTACAAGAGCGTTGCCTACCGTTGGCAATTATTGTAGACCGTAGATTAAAGAAAGTTTGGAGTATAGAGATTAGAGATTGGAGATTGGAGACAAATTTGATATTTGAGATTGGATATTGGAAAGCGGAGATTGGAGATTTGAGATGTGATTGGAGATTGGAGATTGGAGTTTGGAGATTGGATATAGGAGGTTCGAAATTCAAGTTGAGATTAAAGTACTTTGTGAAGAATTAAAAATGTATGTATATGTACCTATGTATTACAGGATTTCCCATTCAACGTGTACCTTAACGACCGTAATCTACAAGTAAGAGATGGGATGCTGATCATCAAACCTATCACCCTGGAGTCGAAGTACGGAGAGGACTACGTCAGGCAATCACTGGATATCACTGCCAGGTGAGGAATTCATAGGATATGTAGCTTTTATTCTTATTAAAAAAATAATTAATAAACGACAGATGACCATTATGAAATCCCAGGTTTGATTCCGAAGTCCAGTCCCACTCCACTAACAGACTTATTATTTAAAACAATTATTAAAGAAGAATATAAATAGTTACATAATGTTTCTATATTTCTCTATGTGTCCTTTAGGAAATAAATATAAGTAGATTTTCTATAATAAAATCATCTCAAATTATTAACATTAAATCACCACACATCAATCTATACAAAACCAGTTTACCCTGGTGTCCCGTCGCATCATCTTTCCGCACATTTAACGTTCAGTTTATATTGGTTATGTAAAGCTCGATGTGTAGCCGTGTGTACCACATCTTAAATCTTACTATAAAAGATTAAATTTAATTCAATGAGAATGTTCTTTATTCTGACATTCTTCATCATTTCATTGTCTCCAGATGTACTGGTATCATTGGAACAGCTGAATGCGCTCGAGAAGCTTCTGGTCCTCAAATCCTCCCTCCCATCATCACCTCGAAGATCACAACTAAGAATAAGTTCGCCTTCAAGTACGGAAGAGTCGAAATCAGAGCCAGGATGCCGATCGGAGACTGGATTTATCCAGGTATGTTATTGATGAAAATCCTACTTCTTATGATCATAATTATGATTTTGTCCAAGAATGGACTATAAGTGGTTAAGTGACCAGCTGCAACCCTTTTGGAACAGGCCCTTTACAGCCTCCTAAAACCGGCGAACCCCTGTAATCTAGGATCTATAATAGACTAGCTTTTACCCGCGGCTTCGCTTGCGTCACAAAAGGATAAAAAGCAGCCTATGTGACATATACCAATCCACACAGCGCCATCTATACCAATAATTTCGTTTTCCCTCGAGAATATCAAATATTTCCGGGATAAAAAGTACCCTATTATTTAATCCAGACTTCTAACTTCACATCTGCAAAAATTCAAAACAATCAGTTTAGTAGTTACGGCGTCAAAGTGGAACAAACAAACAAACAAACTCACTTTCCGATTTATAATATTAGTAAGGATACAATCCTGAAAGCATTGAAATCTGATGAGGGACCTATCGATTTGATTCGACACACGGTAACAACTAAAAGAGACCAGTTTGAATGAAGTCAGAGAATGGTCAGATATGTCGTGGTGGCCCGGAGGTTTAGGACGTTCAAAACCTACCAACGCCTAATACCAATGTGACTTTTTCCAAGTTATATCTACTTTCTAAGATTATTTAGACGCCATTGACAAACGGCGAAGGAAAACATCGAGAACAAACCTGGACTTATAAATTCGAATTATAAGTTTGAAATTGCCAACCCGCATTGAGCAAGCATGGTGATAAATACTCAAACCTTCTCCGAGTGAGAGGAGGCTTTGCTCAGCAGTGGGCAATTAATGGCTGTTGATGATGATGATCATTGTCCGGCTTTGTGTGACACACATTCGACCTGTTTAGACTGGTTTAATATACCTCTAGTTTGATCTGTAGCCGCATGTTAGAATTTTCTTTAGGGAGAGTAATTTAATAACAGACTAATGTTGCTATATCCATTTTATTTTCAGAAATCCAACTGGAACCCAGAGACCATATCTATGGTATTACAAACTATGCATCTGGATTGCTTCGCATAGCCACCATCAAAGGAAACGCTGAGTTCGCCAAGAAATTATATGCTGGACCTATTATGTCCGATTCTGAACCTTACAGGTTAGTAGCAATTCTAAACAGTATTCATTTAAAAGAAAACATGCATACAGTTCAGTTTTCATTAGCAATACTATACTTGTTAAACTATTTTAACTGCGTACTTAATTTGAACTTTATTGTTAATGGGATAAAGGCCTACTTGTAACAATTTTATTGGCTTCTAATTAATAATTCAATCACATTATTTATGTTACAGATCGTTCTACTTACAGCAAAAACAAGGCGTTGATCTTTGGAGTAGAGATTTCCACAACTACACCCTTGACTGGAGACCAGGTATTATTTTTGCATATCTATTGCATTTTCGATGAGGTGGACTGATGACATAATCCAAGTGGCTGGCAAACACTGGACGAATGTCGCCAAGAACAGAGCCAAGTGGAAAGCACTAGAGGAGGCCTTCACCTTCGAGTAAAGCGAGGGGTTATTACTATAAGTAAACTAAGAAGCATGTAAAGTAAAGAAAAAATATTATTACGTAAAATCATTTTCTTTTTTCTATTCTTTGTGAATTTTTAAGAAATCTAAGGCCTTTTTTATTTTAATTTTACTTATTCATTATTGCCTTTTCAAAAATCTGTAATTGATTGACTGCCTTATTGGACGTGTTTTTTTTATGGAATAGGAGGAAAACGAGCAGATAGATCACCTTATGGTAAGCAATCAGTGCCGCCCATGGACACCCGCAACACCCGAGTGGTCGCAAGTGTGACTGCCGGGCAAGGGGTATCGGCCTCGATCTCGGGTCGAGCAAAGTATTACTGGATTAAAAAAAATCTCAGTTGTAGCACGGAGTCTGAAATTGTGCCCGGTATATGGCAATGGGCTCACCCCCTATTACATGGGACTTATAACATAAATAGTGAATCGTTTGTGTTACATAATAACCCGTAATGTGTATCTTTGCCTACTCCATCGGAGGTAAAAGGCGTGATGTTATGATATCTAAATTATGTCTTTCGTCTTCTTCCAGGTAGCATCTCCCTCTACGTGGATGGGGAGCAGTATGGTGCAGTAAGTCCTCCAGCCGAAGGGTTCTACAAGACTGCCAGTGAAAATAATGTGGCTGCAGCTGCCCAGTGGCTTAGAGGCACTGTCATGGCGCCCTTCGATGATATGGTTAGTATGAATCATCATCATCATCGATATCAGCATTTTTTTTTACCATTGCCTCACATTAGGATTATCTCCTGTGTCGTGGGTGCGTTTACAAATATACAAGTTCACATACACATGACACCCAGACCCGAAACAAACAATTTGTGGATCACACAAAGTGTTGTTCCGTGCGGGAATCGAACCCGCGACACGTTGCACGGCAGCCGGTTGCCCAGCCACCGCACCAACCGTGCAGTCATAAGAGCCTACTGTTGAGCAATAGTCTCTTCTAACACAGAGAAGATAAGACCTTTAAACATTACGTTTGCTAATGGAGGATAGGTGATTGCAAACTTGTAATTTTGATTCTTTTTTAAATTTGATGGGCCAACGTTTGACCACTATCTCGCCTGGTTGCAAGCGATGCTGCGGTCTACGATGGATCACGTCGCCCCATGAGCAACCTATTCACTCGGGCCTTGAAGACAACCAGGTTACACCCAGGAGATACAGACTCTGGCAAAGAATTCCACTCCTTAGCAATACGCACATTAAAGCTTAGAATTATGGAAGTTCAGATTTCCTTAGGATATTATTCTTAATCTTCTGTCTGTGGTGTCTTAAGTAACCTTAGAAAGTACATACATATAGGTAGGACAACACTACTAGGTCACGTTAATACTTGCTCGACTTCAAAACCGTTCTCTCGTGCTTAACCTCAGCCCCAACATTTACTTCAAAGAAAAGACGAAAAAACGAAGACCTTTGAAAACTTCTACTTGTAATACCCTCATGATCTTTTAAATATTCATAAACCTGGTGAAAAATGGGTATCACCATTTGCCCATTTTTGGAAAGAAAGGTACAAATACTAAAATTAACTTCTTCTTTGCAGTTCTTCGTGTCATTAGGCCTGAACGTGGGTGGTGTGCATGAGTTTGCTGACGCGCCCAACAAACCGTGGACCAACCGAGCCACTAAAGCCATGCTAAACTTCTGGAATGCTCGCGACCAGTGGTACTCCACTTGGTACGATGACAGCAGCGCTCTGGAGGTAGACTACGTCAGGGTCTATGCTCTCTAGAAGGTCAGTAGACTTTTGTACCACTGCTATTATCTTTAAATTCTAATGAAAATCGTACATTATAGTAATCCTGAAGTCTCTTGCTCGTTCTTCTCCAATACGCAACCGGATTTTAATGTACAATTTATTTATTTATTAAACATGGCATCATTTATAACATCACGCCTTTTATCCCCGAAAGGGTTGGCAGAGGAGCAGATTACGGTACTTGATACCACTGTAGGTACAATGTAACACCCACTTTTCACTTTTATTTTATGAGTCCCATGTAATAGGGGGTAATACTTTGCCCGACCTGGGAATCGAATCCGAGACCCCTTGCCCAGCAATTGCGCTTGCGACCACTCGGCGAACGTGGCAATCTGTATTTATTAAACAATAAGTTAAATCACGACTCAGTCGACTTTGTAAAGAAAATAATTACATTTCATAGACACTACTGATAAAGATTGCCCTTGGACACCTGGAACGCCAAAGGCGTTACAAGTGGGTTACCAGCCTTTTTGGGATTAGGAGTTTGAGGATAGTTGGAGATTCATGGATTGGAGAGATTGGGGAAGGGAGGGGAGCGTAATTGGGCCTCCGGTAACTTCACTCACATGACGAAACACAACGCAAGCGCGGTTTCACGTCAGTTTTCTGTGAGGCCGTGGTATCACACCGGGCGAGCCGGCCCATTCGTGCTGAAACATGGCTCTCCCACACTTATACCGCACTTATACAGTACAGTTATACCTGAATTATTTTTTTATTAACATCTACCTCTTTTGTTTTCTAGATGGGAACATCTTCAAAATGCAAAAACAACTCAACTGCCTGATAAATATTAATAAATATATTTTTTTACTTTTACATGGATTTTCTTTTGTACCAGAATTTTTTTCTGCCTTTCAATCCTTTGTCCTTTATATTGAAAACTAGCTGACTTGGGGGCTTCCTCTTGAATGTAATTGGGTAGGTACTTGCCTTAATCAAAAATAAATCATTTGGACTGCTCAATAGGTACTATAAAATATTAAAAAAATAATCACACTTTCATTATTTAATTTTGACCAACTTAATTTTAGTATTTTTACAGCAAATTTTTAAGAAATAAGTAATTATTCTGATTGTCGCTAAAAAACGTGACGTCACAATACACAATCTCGTACTAAAATTCATAGAAATCTGTCGGTTTTGACGTTCAAAAGAAGTATTGAATTTGACTAGTTGGCACGTACCCAATTCCGATCGATCGATATTGGTATTGTGAAATTTTGTACTCTCGAATTGCAACACTAGCGCCCATTGCATCCGCATTGCGTGGATATTGAATGAACTAAATGATTGAGTTTGGCTTCATATTTCGTACTCTGAACGTTATTTTAACAGCTATGATTGTGGTTGTATAGTGTTGACAATGAATAATTATTGAGATTTTATTGGATTGAAATTGCATTGACATTGAGATTGTTTTCAAGAGTACCTAAGCACCCTGGATAACTTCATACCGCGTCAAACATTATTATCTCATCTTTTAAAACCTTTCCTGGGGTTTTACAAATATTCAAGACCAAACGTACCTCTAAGTAATATGGTCCTGAGAATCAAGTAATGTAATCATTGATTGGGCATTCCCAATATTATATATATTCAATAATATATGTATAAAAGAAAACGTAACATAATCTATACAGATAAATAAAATTGGAGTATCTGTGTGTACTTTTAAAATAACCGATTTTTACTACATGCATATGAATAGGATACATAGGTACATGATACATATACCAAAACATTTTTTTAACATTTTTTATCTGTCTGTCTGTTTGCACTGGCTAATCTCTGGAATTGCTGGACCGATTTTGCAAGACTTATTGGCAATACCTAAAGAGTAACATAGGATACTTTTGTTTGGAAAATTAAAACAAAAGAAATTATGTTCTTCGTGGACGAAGTTGCGTGCAACAGCTAGTCTTATAAATGTATGTAAGTAGATACGTATGTGTTAACCTAATTCGTTAATTATTTTCCTCACTTTAACAAACAGTAAATTTTTAAAAGTCGAATACCCTAAAATTACCCTAATTAAACAAAAGGATCAGGATCAATAAAAAAAATTAACAACCTACCTAACTGTTTCCTTCATTACGAATCAATTTTATTACCTACCATAGCCACAAATAAAAAAAAATCGCTGCAAAAATATTTAAAATAAGAACCCTTCTGAAGTACGCAAACAGCGTATAAGAACCGTTCAATGTGTAACTACATTCACAGCTAAGAACAATAATATTTTAGTGTCAAAATGACTCTCCCAGCGAACAGACGTGTTGTCGGATTATTTATTTATTTATTTGTATTTTTACAAACAATATGCGGACAGTATCAAATACCTGATGTGACTATAAGTGCGTTAAAACCGCGAGGATTTCGCGCCTCAATACCAGGTTCGTTGACCTTTGTCTATTTATAACATCACTTTTATTTTCTTTTGTTGTCTATGGACTTTAGATTACGAATGTTTTGATATTGAGTTCAAAAGTTAAAATATCTTATATAGAGGTATAGGTATATTATTATAAGGCTGAAAAGTTTGTTTGTTTAAACGCTCTATTCTCAGGAACAACTGTTCCTATTTGAAAAAATCTTTTTGTGTTGAATAATCCATTTATCAAGGAAGGCTATAGACTATAAAACATCACGCTACGATCAATAGAAGAAGAGCAGAGCGGGTAAAACCACGCGGAAGTATAAGAATAAGATTCGAAAAAAGAGTAATAAATTAACCGATTGTGTTAGAAGAATATTTTTTCAAAAAGAAATAACTACTTAAAATGTCGGTATTATTAATAATTTTGTGGGTTTTAAGTTAATAGGATTGTTAATAACGATGTAAAATCATATTTAACAGTTGTAATAATTTCAATTAGCACAATATATTTCAATAGATGACTTAACGTGCATTCAGTAGTAGATATCTTTGTTTATTATTTGATAATGTCGTATGAGTAACTTACATTAAAGTTATTTCGGAATAAGGTTTTTACATAGCACTAATGCGGCATTTTATATACATATAATGGACACTACATTGAATTTAGTCCTACTTCTTATCCTAGTATCCTACTAAATGTGAAAGTTTGTGTGAATGTATGTAGGTATGTATGTATGTTACGCATACAAAAACTACTGAACGGATTTGAATGAGATTTGCCGTAGTGATAGATAAGATAGATTATATTCTGGAATTACATATAGGTTACTTTTTATCTTGGATATGTGTAGAAATCTGTTGTAAAAAGTAATTTAATTAATGCATAAATAACTACTATAGGAAATAAGTATGCTGTTTGACGCTAAAAAAACAATATTCATAGAAAACTTTACATAGTTTTTGACAGTTCGAAAAAAGTATTGAATTTGACTACTTAGTTGGCAAATACCCAATTGTTGCATTTTGGATTTTTGGGAAAATCTATTAGTAGATAACGCGGAGTACCTATGACATTAGGTTCACTCCTATAACTTAGGATTCATATCACTGGTAAAGTTGCTATACGCACCTCTGCTTACGTCTTCGAAAGATCAATTGACTTGTTATGTTTATGTCATTACTTTTATTATTGCAATAAACCAGACCTTAATTTACGCGCTAAGAATTACTACTAAGAATTCCAAGACTATAACAACTAATAACACTTTAATGTAAACTTATAACAAACTGGCACGAATAACTAGTCAGTACTCAGTTAGTATAGTTATATCTACGTCTTAAATTCTGGGGAATAACCACAACGACGCAAATCATGGTTGGTAGAAAAACAGTAAAAACTCGTCACTATTTGATTCTCCTGTATCGTGAGTGCGTTTACAAACATACAAGTTCACATACACATGACACACAGACCCGGAACAACAATCTGTGGATCACACAAGGAGTTGCTCCGTGCGGGAATCGCACCCGCGACACGTTGCGTGGCAGCCGGTTGCCCAGCCACTGCACTAACTGTATTATCTCTTAAATTGTATTTCATTAAACATCATGGTCATCATTACTGAACACAGGCCTCTTCAATGGTACGCCACTGCTGTTGCTCCGTTTTGTTTTTTATAGCATAAGCCGGTAAACGAGCAGACGGATCACCTGATGGTAAGCAATCATGGCAAAAAGATGAACACCAAAGGCGTTACAAGTGCGTTACTGACCTTTTGGAGATTAGGAGTTTGAGGGTTGTTGGGGATTCAAGGCCTCCGGTGATCTCACTCACACGACGAAACACACCGCAAGCGTTGCTTCACGTGGGTTTTCTGTGAGGCCGTGGTATCACTCCGGTCGAGCCAGCCCATTCGTGCCGAAGCATGGCTGTCCAACACTTAACCGTTTGTATTTCCCAAGTGTAGATAAAGTTTGTTTATTAGATTCGTGCCGTGATCACAGGCGAGGTTAGCCATGACTCTTGCTCCTGAGCAGGTGTTGGAATGGGGTGGTTTGTAGTCAGTCTCTCTCTTTGTAGTCAACTCCCTCCCGCCTCACCCAGGAGGGGAGTAGCCATGTGATTATACTGGATCTTTAAAAAAAAAATCATGAACTCAAGTGATAATATTGCAATGGATTGATTACTCACAGTGCTACTATTGTTTGACCCCAAAGGTCGGTGATGTAACGAGAGCGTATTATCTTATAATTGCAGTATTTCGAGACATTTTCCTCACAAGTCTACTGTAAATTACTAATTTAAGTAGATAATTTGACATAAGAAAGGCCCATGAATTTGCTAATTAAATAATTATTTAAAGTATATAGTTCTCTCAATCTCAGTAATAGCACGGAGTCTGGAAATGTGCCCGGTATATGGCAATAGGCTCATCCCCTATTACATGGGACTCATAACATAAATAATGAAAGGTGGGTGTTAAATTGAACAGTGGCATTAAGTGCCGAAATGTGCACCTCTATTTACCCCTTCGGGGATAAAAAGGCGTGATGTTATGTTATGTTATGTAGTATATTGTTTTATGCATGAAGTATTAAATGAATAATTACTTACATAAATCTCAGCAGCTGAACGTGTACACTATCAATCAGATGAACTTTGATAATAGAGCCAGCAATTCTAGAGATTGATACGTACAGACAAATAATTTCATTTGCTTAGACCTTATGTTTAAGAAAATAAAAGTTAATACGTTACTATTACACGTAATCATAACAATAATATTTAAAAAAAATGTGATTCCCCTTCTCCTGGAGTTTTATCTTAATTGGATACTAAGAAGTAAAATACATATGAGGTCAATACGCTGACGAGATGATTGGACTTATCTACATATATTTTAATATTCTTATTTACCTATTAACTTATTAATAAATATTTGCCTATAAAAATGTTAAGTAGGTAGGTATATTTTTTTAATAAATTCTTCGTAGTTCAGAGGCGTGCTTATGGTTTTACATTAATTGAATCTCTATTTACGGTGGAGAGTTTTTACACTTAATAAATCGCTCAGTAATTTGTCACGACGTCTTTGCGCAGGAGAAGAAATATACACTCAACACGAAAACTACGTAGAACGATGACCTTGAAGGTCTTCCTATAAACTATGTTTCATATAAACATGCAGATGAAAGACTAAATTTATTTTGACCTGAGACCTCGTATTTTGACTTTCTCGCCTATTGGCTATGTGCGAAGCGAGTAGTGGCGGACAAATAAAGACCGCAGCGCACAACACGGCAGAAATTGGAAACAAATGCGGATGATATAACCCGGTTTTTATTATTATATTCATTTTATAGTAAAACTATTGAATAAATTGCACTTAAACTGTCAAACACCAAGCGGTCACCGGTGACCGCGACCTATTGTTCTTTAATTGTGTCTATAAAACCGGTACTCGACGAGTTAAATAATGTCAACAATACTATTTTAATTTTTGGTTTTATTTATATTTTCAAAGAATGTGCTAATAGTTAATAGTTAGCTGTTTACCAAAGACACAGTTAAAATTTACTGATCGTAGAAAGATAGGTTTAGCTCATAGATTTATTGAGAAATTCAATCGATATGAAAAATCTATGGGAATTGGTACAATGCTATCACCAAAAATAACTTCAACAGCTGGTGACAGTCATGTACTGGAAAATCCTCTACATAAAAGTTTTGCCAAAATTTTCACGTTTGTTAGACGGTTAATTTAGTTTTAATAGGTTTAGGGTCATCAGAAAGCACAACACACCAACCTATGTCAAAATGAAATGTGGGGATCTAAAGTTCAGTAGTCTACTCGCAGAACACCACCCGGAGGAGAAACGGTTATATAATTTGGTTACATCACAAACCCTTGACATATGAGTATGGTCAAGCGATGCTACACTATGCTGTTAGCTATGCCATAAGTAAATAACTTTGCATATTTTTCCAGATGCACCAAATCTCAGTTTGTTCGTCTTCCAAGGGAATGTGAACCGTCCCATTGGTAGCACAGATGTTGGGACCATTTCTGGAGAAGTTCTTCAATCGAAGGATGGGTGGTGGACAGTGGAAGAACCAGGCATAGAGTTGAAGATCGGAGACGTTATCAATTACTACGTGGTGGTCACTGCAGACAGAGCTGGTTATGTTAAGGATAAACTTAGCTATACTGTTACAGGTAGGTTCGACAAATATTTTTGGTAAATGAATGGTGGCCCGTGGTTAGAGACAAGGTTATAAAACATTCTGTTTGATTTTTGGGGTGGAAAAGGAGATTTGGTTTTATGATTTTCGAATTTTTTAATTATAACAGAATAGGGATTGCGTTTAGTGTACGGATCAAGAACAACAAGAATGGACAATGTATCTAATATCACAATTGTACAAAAGTTTGTTTTGATGACAGAATCATCACTATGAATGTCTAGCGCTTACCATTTAGTGTTAATAAATCTTAAGGTATGCTCTGTAAGCAATTATTCCAAGGTTCTATATACAGAACGCCACCATACCCATTAAAGCATTTAATGACATAGAAACCCTGATTCCAAAACTTCCCAACTGAGTACTGTAACTCCTAATTCTATTTTCAGCTCTCGAAGACCGGACTTTCACACCCAATATCACACCATCACCTGCAACACCTCGGCCGACACCACGGCCAACACCATCCCCTCCAGAATGCAGACCAACAGTGACCTTGGTCCAAGGTGGCACCGCGTGCGCAGGCCAGACGATATTCGAGGAAAACTTTGACAGATTCCGAGATGATATTTGGCAAATTGAACAGTATTTACCGTCGTCACCGGTGAGGTATTCCTTCAATTAACGAGCTTGTTTTTAGCAATTATCATGTATGTTTTTCCCCTGAGGTAAAATGTTCCGTTAGTATTTATGAATCATAACTTAAGGGGCATATAAGTCTGTTAACAGCTTGTCAGCTGCATCATATAATAGGGTAGATGTCTAATTTTTATTTTAATATCCGTCTGGTAGATTATTTTACTTTTATTTTTTATTTTCTTACAGAAACAAATACTTTCGACGATATAATATATAAGACGTACGTTGTTAATTGGGATGATGCCAGGGTATGAAAATTAAAAATCTAATTAGTCCGTAAGTTAGATAATGAAAAAATATTAGACACGTATTTTTTTTATTTTCTTATATAATAAAACAATACTTAGATGAAACGAATCAAAGTTTAGGAGTGGGGGCTAAAACATCATTAAATTTCTAAGTATAAAATGTACATAGAAGTGACGTCACGCGAAATTTCAAATCAATATATCGTTGAAAGTATTTGTTTTTCTAAGAAAATAAAAAATACGTGTCTAATGATTTTTAAATAATCTACCAGACGGACATTAAAATAAAAATTAGGCATCTACCCTATTAGTTGATTAAATATTTGTACCAGAAAGTATTTATCAACAATTGAAAAAGAAAAATGCTAATGGAACCGTTTATTTGCTCCCAATATGTATGTACATAATTGTGTACATGTTTAACCATTCTTTGTATCGTGGTTTCTAAGGAATACCCATTAAATGTTTGGTCTGCAAAAAGTAGGTTACCTCTTCACCTGCATAGTAATTCTGCACTTAAGTGACCAAGGTCATTGACACTGAATCGTTTATTTCTCAAAACCGGTTGAACATACCTCGGGACTTTTTCTCTCTTGACTCACTTTTGCCTGTAGTACTTTTTACTCAGAATTTGTTGTATGTAATTAGAATTAATCGATCGATTTCACTTAATTGACGTGTAGGTGAATACCCTTTTTCTTTTTGCATTTTAGAGAAAGAGGATACAGGCTTGAAACATAACATAACATAACATCACGCCTTTTATCCCCGAAGGGGTAGGCAGAGGTGTACATTATGCCACTGTACAATGTAACACCCACTTTTCACTATTTATGTTATGAGTCCCATGTAATAGGGGTGGGCCTATTGCCATATACCGGGCACAATTCCAGACTCCGTGCTACTACTGAGAATTTATAAAAAACCCAGTAATACTTTGCCCGTCCCGGGAATCGAACCCGAGATCTTGGGCTTGAGAGAGGCTTGAAAAATATTTCAAATTTTTTAGGTTTAACCTTTTGAGTGCCGTCATTATAGACACAATTTAAGAACAATAGGTTGCGGTCACCGGTGTCCTCGCGGTGTTTGACAGTTTAATCGTTAATTGTTAATTACTTCCAAAGAATTATAAGGAAAAATCCGCGTCTTTAACCTATAAGTGACCTAATGAACCGTAATATATTATGATGTATGACGATGTGTTAAAGGGTGAACTGCATTTCTATAAATTGGATTTTCCTAACAAAAAATTACTGAAATGTACTTACTTATTACTTACAAACACCTAAGATGTGTACCTACTATAATTTAAAGTTATTTGTCCGTTTTCAGAACTTCCCATTCGTGTCCTACCAGCGTCTAACTTCTGACCCGACCGTGTCTGTATCAAACGGTGAGCTGCGCATAGTTCTCAACCTGCAGCAGCGGGAGCCAGGGTTTACAGCAGACTCCATCTTCACTGGGTCTCTCAACCTGTACAGTGGGTAAGTCCTTCTTGACTTAAGGTCCTGTGTCTTCCAGATAGCCGAAAAGTCAATATTGCTTGATTCGTTTTTGGTTACCTCTATGGGAAGACAACATATTGTGAGCCACGTTAGCAGAGGATTTACCCTCAGCAGCTTTCTCTAAATAGTTGAAGTTTTAATTGTTTGATTACCATGCGGTTGACAAGAAAGGTCTCTGATTTGTGATTGAAATTGTTGTGTACCTAAGTCAAATTAATAGGATTTTTGATGTTTATTTATAAACACAAAACCCGTGAAATTTTACTGCTATACTATGAATATGATACTCCTCTACGGTAAGGGTTTATCGTAAGCTCCACGCTTGCTAGGTGGATCGGAGATCGCAGTTTAAATAATTAGGTTGATCAGAGAGCACTGCGGCCCAGTTTTTGTCAATTGTATTAAAGTAGTTACAGAGTGCCAAGCACGAATAACTATCGCATTCGTATCGTAACAGTATCGAGCGAGTTAAGCATTCTGATTGGTTGGTTCACTTGAGCCGGCTAATCAGAGCGACGAACGCGCTCGATACTATTACTTTATGAATGCGATAGTTATTCGTGGAGACAAGTACTGATGCTTCTAGCAATGTCTTTAAACACCTTTAAACAAATATGTTTATATCAAAGTTAAGTTATGCTTCATATTATTTTCAGATGCACATCATCAGCTGAGGCATGCATGAAGCAAGCATCTGGCGCAGACATTCTGCCTCCCATCATCAGCGGCAGGATCATCTCCAAAGGTTTCGCCTTCACTTATGGAACTGTCACCGTAAGGGCTAAACTGCCACAGGGAGACTGGATATATCCAGGTAGGGAAAGAAAGAGAAAGGAACATTTATGTCATACGCAGACAATAATATAATATGTAACCATCATCGACATATACTAACGGATATCTGCAGTATTTTTTTGGTTTGAAAAGAGTGAGAGAGATGGCCTATGCTTTCGGTCTAGCGCTATCTCTTTTTCGCTCATAACGTCTTAACCATCGACATTAATAATTAACTACGGTACTATTTTGAGTGAGATAAAGATAGACCGAAACTTCGTTTCCTCTCTTTCTTTCGGAGTGCCACAATTCTCATCTCTAAGGCATGTCCATTAGTATATGTCAATGGTAACTATAACATCTCAACTTTTTACTAGCCCAAAATCAAAGACAGCATTTATTTCAACTAAGCCAATAAAGCAATTTTTAAATAAAATTGTCTCCAGTTCATTAGTGATACTTAGGTTTTGTTGCAAACGATATTACGACAATTGTATGTACTTCATTATAACTTAATTTTATTCCATGACGTGTAAATGTACCATTGATCTTACATATTTTACTTTGTCTTACGGGGAAAAACAGTCGAGCTAAGACGGTATGCGAATTCATCATTGTGGTTGTCCATTAAAAACCGTATTGGTAAACTATTTAGTCATTCATAAATGAAAAAAAGTACCTACCTATGACAGATTAGTAAATCTTACTAAAAGTAAGCCCCAACCTTGCAATAATTATAAAAATTGACTGATTACAGAAATTCTCCTGGAACCATTCCGTAACAAATACGGCAGCCTTCACTACAGCTCTGGAGTGCTACAAATAGCATCAGCCCGAGGCAACAAGGTGCTTAGCAGTGGGACTACTGATTACTCTAATAAGGTGAACTAAAACTGTTTCTCATGTGTATTACTTACCCGTAGGGACTATTTTAACGAAGTGTAAGTGTTTAATTTGACCTCTTTCTTGGTAAAAACTACAGAACATGTCGATTGTGGTGCAGGTAACATAACATAACATCACGCCTTTTATTTTAGGCAGAGGTGCATATTATGCCACTGTACAATGTAACACCCTGTGGTAACACCCACTTTTCACTATTTATGTTATGAGTCCCATGTAATAGGGGGTGAGCCTATTGCCATATACCGGGCACAATTCCAAACTCCGTGCTACTACTAAGAATATTTAAAAACCCAGTAATACTTTGCCCGACCCGGGAATCGAACCCGAGACTCCTTGCCCGGCAGTCGCACTTACGACCACTCGGCCAACGAGGCAGTCGACCTCTACTTGGGTAAAGACTACGGAACATCTTGATTGTAGTGCAGATGGTTAATTGTAATCTAGAAGTGGGTGACTGCCTTGTTGGCCGAGTGGTCGCAAGTGCGACTGCCGAGCTCTCGTTCTCGACCTCGTGAAGGGTTTGGGTTTTTAAAAAAATCTGAGTAGGTAGTAGTACTTACGGAGTCTGGAATTGTGCCCGGTATATGTCAATAGGCTCACCCCCTATTACACGGGACTCATAAATAGTGAAAATTGTTATATTGTACAGTGACATTAAGTAACGTAATGTGCACCTCTGCGTACCCCTTCGGGGACAAAAGGCGTGATTTTATGCTAAGTAGGTAAGTGGATTAACATAGAACAACATCGTGACAGTCCAGTGCTGATATATGGTCCGAGTCTCTTCTACACAGGTAGCGATAATCTCCATACACCGAGTAGATAACGTCAATAACGTTGTTTTAATAGTAGTAGGTAGAATGAAATCCATTGCAAATTTGCGTAATTTATTATTCCATAATTATTTTTGGCCACATTTTCTTCTCTTTACAATAGGTTTCATTCTTCTTCTATTTAATGTTGTGACGGCTTGAGTACGATGCTTTAACATCATGGTTTCCAATTTCAGGTTCTATTCGGTGGGCCCATACTGGACCTGCAGTGTCACGACACACTACTAAACAGTAGAACACTGGCCAACGAACGCTGGGGAGACAGTTACCACGAATACTCCCTCCGATGGGCTCCAGGTAACTCGAAACATCATAATATTATACCCCTTTTTATTCAAGAAAATATTTAACGTAATATCCACTTTTGAAAACGCAGCACAATAGTTAACAGTGCTCTTAGTTGTAACTGCACTGTCAACTATAGTATAGTAAGCTATAGTTTTGCGCGTGTCAATTGGTGGCGCCGGTTGCTTAACATCAGGTGATCCATTTCATTTGCACAACTATCGCATATAAACCCACAGCTGAATAAAGGCTCCTGTACCACGCCATTGACAAAAATCTTCAGATCTATGCATCCAATCAGTGTTTTCACGTTTCTCCATTTTTTTTTGTAATTATTTATGTTCTCTTCACACAGATCGGATAACACTATCGGTGGACGGAGTGGAGTGGGCCCGAGTGGAGCCTACAGCGAGTGGGCTGCGCGGTCGCTTCCCCGAACAATGCACACAACTCCCTCGGAACTTGCTGCAGTTCGGATCTAAAATGGCGCCCTTCGATGATCATGTGAGTACCACTGTTATTATGCACCTCATCATCAACTAACTTCCTCTAACAGTCCCTTGCTGCGCTGTGGATACATATAATAAAATCGTAGAAACGTCAAAACTGGAGGTACATAGAATATTCTTTTAAACCCTTTGAGTACCGTCATTATAGACACAATTAAAGAACAATAGGTTGCGGTCACAGGTGTCCTCGCGGTGTTTGACAGTTTAAAACAATACTTGTAGCGTGATTATGGTTTTAAGAATTTTTGTCTGTTTGTCTGTATGTATGTCCGGGATGATCTCAAAAAATACAGCATGGATTTACTTTAAATTTTGCATGAACATTACTGACAAGTCGGGTCAACATATAGGCCTACAGGGGAGGAGCCCTATACTAGGTACTGAATCAATTCTGGCGACATTCGTTACCATAGAATATCCCTTGATAAGGACTAATTCAAAAACCTAAATTCTGCTAGAAGTCATTATTCTACGCGGACAAAGTCGCCGGCAACAGCTAGTCTTCTATATAAAAGAAATTGACCGTAATCTTCACGCTTGATAGGGAAGGTTGAAGACTGCAATATAGAAGATTTAGGTTTATCAGAAACCACTGATGCCTGGACTCTAAATAGTACCTTAGTCGGTTTTTACGATACTCGTTGTAAGAAGTCCAAAATTTTATTGTAACTTTATTGTAACCAATCAGCTATAAAGAATTATATATCCCAATCAAAGTATCTAATTAAAAATAAACTTATACTCTTGACTCCACAGTTCTACATCGCGTTAGGAGTTGGCGCAGGAAGCATTACAGAGTTTCCTGATGGAGTGAAGACGGTCAACGACCGTCCCAAGCCGTGGAGTAACCCTGGAAGGAAGGCCCTCCTCAACTTCTGGCAGGACATGGACTCCTGGCTTTCAACTTGGAACCAGCCCCAACTCCTCGTGGACTATGTAAAAGTGGTCGCCCTGTGATAGTAACATCTATTTAACCAAATATGTAAATGTGTTTAAACTGAAATGGTCAATAACACTAATGGTGGAACTTTTAAAGGAATATTTATGTTACCTATACCAAATCGGATCCCTTATTTAGTATAATATGCGTTGACATAATTTTAATTCACATAATGATAGTAATCTTATTGATACGATTGTATTACCTAGGTATCTAAAGGTAAGATTAATAAAACATACAACATTGCCTCATTGTAAAAAAATGTGACAATGGTAAAGGAGTGATATTATGCTAAAAAACTATGCGAAATTGGATCAAAATATGTACTACAAAAACGTTAATATTCTAGTTATAAGTTCCAATTTTAAGTGTTTATAGAATTTATAAGACTGCTAATGAAATTATCTAGATTGTATGAAAGTTATTGTATCTATTATGGGAACGGCTGTGTTGTACGCGAGTCATTTTGTTTTAGAATCCGCCATGATAAAATGATTTAATTTTATTAAATAAGTGTAATGTAATAAATTAATAACAAAAGATAATGTTTTATTTCCAAAATACATCGACCTACTCAAAAAATAACAAAATTCCTTTTGTGTTACATTCTCCGTGAATAAAACATTTGCTGATATGAATAAGGGTGACAAAATGTGGGTATGAGAGTCTGTGGGTAAGTGTGAGAATGTGGGGTGAACGTTAGAACGTGGGTAAATGCTAGAATATGAATAAGTATAAAACAGGCTTTAAACAGGCGAACCACATTTCAACTGTAATCCAACTGCAAATGACTGTTCGGATGCAGTTTGAAAGCAATTGACACGACTGTAATAGAAATGCAATCGGAATGCTCGTTTGATTTGCAACCATTTGGTCGTGACTACAATAGAACTGCAATCGGAATGCTCGTTTGGTTTGCAACCATTTGATCGTGTCTGCAATAGAACTTCAATCGGAATGCTCGTTTGATTTGCAACCATTTGGTCGTGACTATAATAGAACTGTAATCAGGTTGCTCGTTTGGTTTGCAACCATTTGGTCGTGACTACAATAGAACTGTAATCGGGTTGCTCGTTTGATTTGCAACCATTTGGTCGTAACTATAATAGAACTGCAATCAGGTTGCTCGTTTGATTTGCAACCATTTGGTCATGACTACAATAGAACTGCAATCGGGTTGCTCGTTTGGTTTGCAACCATTTGGTCGTGACTACAATAGGACTGCAATCGGGTTGCTCGTTTGGTTTGCAACCATTTGATCGTGACTACAATAGAACTGCAATCGGAATGCTCGTTTGGTTTGCAACCATTTGGTCGTGGCTATAATAGAACTGTAATCGGGTTGCTCGTTTGATTTGCAACCATTTGGTCGTGACTACAATAGAATTGCAGTCAGACAGCTCGTTTAGTTTACAATATGGACTTAGCTAGTAACCACAGCTGCTGTGATTGGACAAAAATCCCCTGTTTACATTTGCGCCACCTGGTGACCTCCTTGCTAACCTTAGCCCCATTGGAGTCGTGACACGACTGCATTTAAACTGTAACTGTCTGTCTAGAGACTTAGACTGCGTCAGTGACACTGAGGGTAAATGTGAGGCTGTGGGTAAGAAACTGGGTAAGTTCACATTGTGCGTAAGTGTGGTACTTCGTGGGTAAGTGTAAGACGCTGTGAATAAGTATGAAAGTACGTAGGTGCGTAGGGATAAAATAAAAAAACAACAAACACATTTGGAACTATTTTATTTGCACGGTGTACATGTCTGCACAGCTAAGATAATAGAATTCTTCGCTATACGAAACATTAACGTATTTGACTATCATTTTGTGGTCTGGTCACACTGTTTAGAGATGTCAACAAGTAGATCATTAAAAATGAATCGATATTTGTGCATTGAAAAATCAACCTTAGAAAAAGATTTTATTACATTGTCTTTCAACAAGTCAGTTAGCAATTGAAACTTGTTCCTTACAAGTAATCATAGTTAACACTTTAACTGCCAACTTTAACTCGTCGAGTACAGTATTTATAGACACAATTAAAGAACAATAGGTCGCGGTCACCGGTGACCGCTTGGTGTTTGACAGTTTAAGATGGTGAAAGTCAAACTTCCACTAGAGTCTGGCACCGGGGACTCACGTGGCACTATAACCGCCGTACTCAAAGTCATTTAATGGCTACTCAACCCAGTCCTTAGCGATTGTTTTTGGAACAAAATCATTACTAAGGAAAAGTTTAAGTAAGCGTTACATGTATCTGAGTATCGAAGTAAGGGTTAAATATTTAAGTTAACCATCTCTAAACAGTCCAACCACCAATTTGTTACAACTGTAATTATTCAGAACTGGTTTAATTCACAATTTCACTATTTTACAAAGAGGTGAAAACAGATTGAGAAAATGTATTTAGAATACAAAATATTGGTTGGGATTGTGACCGTTATGGTTAAGGTTATAGGTACTATTTTTAATTGGATTTTTTTTCATAGTTTGATTACACAATGGTATTCGTCATATGTACCTTTATTATGGCATCGATACCTATTACAAAATTTATGAAGCATTTTCAGTGCACGCATAAAATGACATGCAATGTATATGACCCTTACAACAATCAGAAAGAACATGTCATTATTGTTGACATATCCTTATGTTATGATTTTTTTCATCTCCTGTCAGTCCCACAACGGTTAAAACCCCACCCAACCTTATAAAAGACTACAAATACTTTGATCAATTATTTGATATTACATTAAATATTTTTTATTTTAATTTTTTTGTTATAATTTCAAATACATTCAAATTTGTAACCTCCTACGTCTTGTTAAAATGCCCTAAGTGCCTTAAATAACTACAGAGAGTCAATCCCTACTTAACATTTACTTGTAGGTAGTTTAAAAACATCAAATACCTTAATTATAGTGAGGGGACACGTCTAGCGAATACCGATATCGATATTCATAAATCGACTATTGATTAAGACAATAAAATGTCGATATTCGCTAGATGGCGCTCCTGCGATAGTATAACGATAGCTAGAAGATAATATAAGTCGCAGAGACACAAACTTACAGATATGACTCGGGATCACATAGAAACATTACATTCTATCACTTCTATTTCATATAAACTCACGTCTTTTGAACTACTCGACACGAATATTCAATGATTACTTAACAATATCTGGTGTTCATTACAAAATTATTCCTATGAGAAAGTAAATAAAAACGGAATTATAAAAAATATACGACAATTACATAACTGTCTATAATTCACATAATACTACAACATCAACAAAATTGTATGTACTTAATTAAAATTAATAATGGCAAGTCGTTCAAAAGTCGCGTCGAAGATCATAAATACTTAAAAGCAGAAGTTTTGATACGATTTCATAATTTAACTAATAGATAAAAGGAATTACATTTGACTAACAAATATTATGACATCTGTGACGTTACGTTGTTCTGCTAATGAAATAAAAACAATTGTTTCGACAAAAACTTCGTGTAAACTCTAGAAACGGATAACATAGGTGAATTCAAAATACAAATATCGATAGTATGTATCGATACTTACTTCTACCAACCGTTGACAACACTATTTCTTCGACGTTGACATTAGCAATTTCCCTGTTTTCATAAATTACACATAAAAATCCGTTTCCAGAAGACATTATAGAAATAAATGGACAAAATTAATTGTATTAAGATAATACATATCGCCACCAACTCTCATACAGTCTTCCAAGCACCTTATTAGACCAAACAAATGAGATTTACGAATATTGGTACAATACCAGGCGTTAACTATTGCGCATCGAGTTTTGGAAAAACACGATTTAGTGTGATATTACGAAACAATTTATTTCTACAAAACTTTTATGATTCGAGGAGAGCGCATGCGGCAACCTGACCAATTGTAGCCTTCCAAAGGTCGTGAAATATTTATCGCTAGGTATTGTACATGTAAAAACAAAATATGCCTGTAATTCTCCGAAAAGGCGCATTGAGCGGAGTACTTGTGGTACATCCATTCGCCTAACATTTTGTTACTCCCAATGATATGGGGGCGAGATTGTTAAAATCAATAAAATCAGGCCTAAATTCTACTATGATATGTAGAATTTTCGGCCCTTGTCAAATCAAATACTAAAATGAAAGACGTGTTACGGACATATTCATGACAGAGATCAGATAGACTGCATGATACAAAAATTTTACGGTCAGTAATAATAACCGATCTGACACTGAATTTTTTGTCATATACCTAGACTGATATAGAGATGGGTTAGTAATTTTGGCTGCCAGTGTTCTTGTGCTTTCATTTGATATTGTTAAAAATAGTTTTGATATTAATATTATTTTGCAGTCGTTGCAGTATAGTAGTCTATCTGACCTTACCAAGTTCACTGTCGCCATTGTACACAAAAATAACAGAATTGAAATACAATAAAAACCTTGTAATATCATCCGGGGCCATATTATTGATTATCACAGCCAACACTCACTCCCAAAACGAAATTGTTTCAAGGGAACATACTGTCCGATTGGAATTTCAATCTCAACCTTTTTGGAAATAAAACTGCAAAGATTTTAAAAAATAACAAATGAATTTCGATTTACTATTATTTGCGTTTTAATGAGAACTATTAAGCACTCATTAGTTAGCTAGATAACCAAAAAAAAGGTTTACTTTGTTTTCTTTTCAATACTAAATCTTCGGTTAAATGAACCTTATCGTAAACACTTAAGGATCATTTTACTATAAAAGACAGATTAAAATTCCGATCGACGTACGATCATAAGATTTCATTGAATAGGACATCATATATACGATAGTATAATAATATAGTTTTATATTAATTTGATTACGTTAAGTAATAAGAATAATATTCATTTATTCGTGCTAACATAAGCTGTTTCAAGCTATATTACAGCAAACATGTTACATTGAATAATATAGGACATATTATATTTTTTTTTCCACAATTTTAATAAAATTTAGACCGTTGTTAGTTACTTTTAAAAAGGAGTATTTAATCACCCCTACACAAAACGTGTTTTAAGTATTTTTTAAAGTTTTAAACACTGAAATTTTCAGTATACATTCGTGATAAAAGAGCCTAGAAATCTAGACAAATGTTTAAAGCATTTTCATTCTAATACAGGTTTAGAAGTCGTCAGAAAATCACGTAACAGCAACATGTAACATAGCATGTAACACGAAAGGTGTTGCAAAGTTACGTTGCGCGTTGCATGTTGTGTCCATGAGATAGACATCGTATTTAACAAGTCTACTTTAAATATCAATTATTTAAATTAATTTTTGTCACTACATAAATGTTTTTTTAGGTATTTTTATTTTATTTCCCCTTTGGGTTTCTATACCTAGATTTTAAGATTTAACATTATATAGGGTGTTACAATGATGCCCACACTTTTTTGAAACTATGCGTCACACGCTTATATTATGATTTCGCATAGATATTATTAAATATCATTTTCTTCAGATAATTCAACATCTATGGTCCACAAACTCTAATACATTTTTTTCATTTTTTAAGTGCCAACGTTTATGTTGACTTACTTTATACATTTGAAGTAACAATAGCCTCTACAAATCCGTTTACAATTTATTCAAGCAATTGTGACTTTTATGCCAAAGGCATAGAGATGATGTTAAGTGAAAATATAAGTTTGCATAAATCTATACACCTTATTCTCAAGAAGATACAGCTCAAAATCACTTGATTAAATCGTGATTTTGGTTGAAATGTTAAATTTTATTTCAAATGTCTATATGAGTCAATTTATCCTAAGTGGCATAAGCAAAATTTTACGTTAACAACATTATCTTAATAAATTAGATTTCCTAAAGCGATGAGAAGCGATTGAAGCTGCTTTTTAGTGCTTTTCACATAGCATTAAGCTAAAACAATTTGTGTGACTACCGCATTAGTTGAAAGAGATAGACACATACTAGTTATATAGCGTTATCCCTCTCTAACATGACATGAATATACCCGTTACATTTATAATTTATTTGATACACAATCACTTATGTTATAGACACAGAATTTCTAGCTGGGTTTGCTAGTTAAAAAAATGATTTTAAATGGCAACACTACGAGTTAAAAATATCGATATTTGAATGTTTTATTCGATAATATGGTTCGCATCTCTATTTTGTTTCTTATAGCCAAACCCAGCCTAAATTACGTAAGAACAATAATCTAATATCATAATATTATTCACTATCGAAGCTAAAGAACTTCTAAAATATTCAAGCCAGCTTGTAACATTGATTGTCTAAATATAACATAGACGCGCCGGTATAATGACAGGCTATACAATTTTAAGTTGTAGTTAAATATCGTGCCATCTCTGTTATTTGGCGTGGTAGAACTATATTTAAGCGCGACTTAAAATGAGAAGCCTTTCACTATTCGAGCGTATTAATTCATATATTTTACTTTCATAATGGAGGTGTAATACACCTCAAATTTTATCGATATTTTTGAGAAGTTGGTACGTTACCGTCATCTTTGATATTAGCGCTTTTGGTGACAGATATGGAAAGATATGAAACGAACAAAGAAATGGCACTATTTGATATCATCGAACAATAGTTTCATCTCTTTCTAGCACTGGGTATTTAAACCGTACTTACATTTAAATGCTGACCTAGTACGTGTAGTTTTTCTCTCTTAGTACCATGGTAACATAAGATTCCAAACGTCCACAATTACCTGGACTAGTATTATATGAACTTCACGTATAAAGAGAGGTCGCAACAACTGGTTATTGACGGTAACGTGTAAATTCATAAATATTAAAATAAGTCATAATATAGTCACTGGTGCTTCCATCTAGCAATACTAATATAATTCATATAAAGGCTGAGATCTTTTACATGTATTTTGGTAGAGAAAATTACGATGTTCGCTTAGCGGCGCTACTGTAGCAAATAAGTGTCAAGACCATATTCAAGATTTATTGGATCATAAAATTGCGTTTATGTATTGAACACGACTTAAAACGACAGTGGCGCCGCCGAATGTAGCGCAAAAAATATTTGATTTTGTATTGGAGTGAAATTATGTTTCTCATCTCAGCCTTAGTATTTTATAAAGGAATGCTTTTATCGACACATGAGCTGTGGTTTTTAGAGATTTTATCTATTAAAACCTTTTCACATATTCATGAAAAGTTGTAGTACATTTTCTTTTGAATAAGTTCTAGATATCATAATGATATACAGATGACAGTGTTACTGTCACATCGATTACATAACTATTGTTCATTTTCATGTCAAATGTCATAATTTAAATGCATAATTGAGAGATGTCTCCCTTTACTAAACGACTCTAACATTGCAGAATATCTTAACACTATTTAAACGATCTAATGAGATTTGATAATATAATAACAACATTCTATAAACATAACTTAGTGGATGACTCTGCAATGTTAGAATGCGCCAATTGTCTACATACAAACTATCTTACTACAACATCAACGTACATACACAGCACACCATATACGACAGACACGTTTCAACTCAATAAAATAACCAAAAAATATCGAATTCGTGCCGCGCATAAAAAACACCGATCGAAAATCTACACTTACTTAAGAAACAAACTTATTTAACAACAACCTCACACAAAAATACTGCGGTAATTTCTAAAAACTCATAGGAATATCGATTTTTCCGTCGTATATGGAGAAGGGTGGAGATTGAGACTCAATCTCACTCTCCCGCGACTCACTCACTCCCGCGACACTCAAATTTTGAAAGTTTATTAGTCCCAATGTGTTTGGTCGAGCGGTCGGGCCACTTACTGCGCCTTGCCGTCGGGCTTGTGTCATACAAAGTCCATGGCGTCCCGGGACTTGCCCGTGAACTTACCTGCCGCGCGCTTCTTCAGGCTTCGCTCAATCAACTTCTTAATTTCGCTCACTATGAACACGCTTGACGTTAGACTTACCAGGAATATTAAATCTGGAAATAAATTGAACGTAAGTTTGAATTTAGTCAATAAATTTCAATAATTATCAAATAATTTTGACCTCTAGCACTGTCTGAAAATACTGTTAACAATTCATACCAGGGAATAATAACAATAATAATCAAAATATCTTCATACCATGTCCAGTGAGCGCTTCAGTTAGGAAAACCTTCTGCAACGGTGGGAAGTATATCACCAACATTTGTCCCACGAGACTCAGTGAGACTGCCACCAAGAACATCTTGTTAGAGAACAGTCCCACTTCGAACACAGACTTGGTTTGCGATCGACACGAGAGTGCGTTGAACATGTCGAATAGTACGAAACAGGTGAATGTCATTGTAGTATCGCGGGGAGTTATGCGGGAGTCTGACATCTGGAAACAAAATATTAGAAATTAACAACAGAAAAAGATAGTAGAGATTCAAGGTTTAGAAAGAGAAGATAAAATTACAATGTCTAGAAGTATAGATAGGAATGTGATGCGAGAAGGACGAAAGCAGAAAATAAAGAATAAGATTACAAAGAGATAAGGGGCTGAAACAAGAGATGGAGAAAGAAATACAGGGAGTGTTAAGTTAAAGGTGAACAAAGGGAGTATGGGAGGTGAAAGGTGAATAGATGGAGAGAGGGACGTAGAACGGAGAAGAGTGAGAGTAGAAAGGTGGATGACAGGAGTGGTAGGGAAAGGGGTTAGTTCGAAGGGGGATCGACGGGAGAGGGGGTGTCAGGGCGGGAAGCAGAGGAAAAGCGATCATATATGGGGAAAGAGTAAAAGAAATAAAATTTTACATATTCTAAGATCAAAGAAGAATCAGCAACACGTAGTATTCTTTCGTACCTCTCTGTTGAAGACCCAGAGCGTGCCCGCGATGATGATGGCGGCGGCGAGCAGTACGTTGAGCAGCAGCGCGCGCGAGATGATGCGGCGCGACGTGTCCCGCGGCCGCCGCCGCAGCACCGAGTGGTCCACCGGCTCCACGCCCAGCGACTGCGCGGGAGGGCCTGCGGGGTACACGAACGTTAATATATAATTGGTCATAGTGTGGACGAGCATCGAAGGGGCTTTTTGACTTGAAAGAACTGAAAGAACCATCGTAACTATTGGAAATAAACTCGAAGGCTCTTATGGACTTTACAAAGTATTCGCAAAGACATTGAAAAAGAAGAAAAGATCAATTTGAAAAGTGTCATCCTGGTCTAATTGAAATTAATGATTTTGACTTTGACACCTAACAAGTAAGGGGTTAGTTTAGATGCTACGTTTAGCTAAGTATCTTTCAGTTAAAAGATGGTTTATTAAGAGTTTTCGGTAAAAACGTCCAAAGTTTTAAAACTAAAGTCATCAAAAACACTAACATTTATATTTCGAGACAACCATAAAAGACAGGTTTCTTGATTCAAATCTGACATTAAAGGTTATGTACGTAGAATAAAATATGTCGACTCACCGTCCATAATAATATTGATCCATAGAATCTGCATGGCATTCAACGGGTTTGGTATACCCATGAGAGTAGCGAGCGCGATGAGTGATAGAGCCGCGATAGACGTGGACAGTTGGAAACGGACGAAGTTGCGGATGTTGTAGAAGATACATTTTCCTTCTTCTATGGCCGAGCTGTAAAAAAAATATGTCGCTGTATTACGGACAATAATCCAAACAGTCGTAAGAAAGATGACTGGAGACGACGAGTTTGGTGAATCTAATTAGTAATCCTTACTTATATTATAAATCGGAAAATGAATTTGTTTGTTTGTTTGTTTGTTCCGACTTCACGCCGTAACTACTAAACCGATTGCATTGACTTTTTGCAGACGTAAAGTTAGTAGTCTGGATTAAATAATAGGGTACTTTTATCCCGGAAAAATTTTGATATTCCCAAGGGAAAACAAAAGTATTGGTATAGATGGCGCTGTATGTATTTGTATATGTCACATAGGCTACTTTTTATCCTTTTGTGACGCGAGCGAAGCTGCGGGTAAAAGCTAGTGAAGTATAATACGCAATGACTGACTGACTTTAGGATAACTTAACTAATTGTAATTTGCTTCAACAAACAATGAATATAGAATATCGACTTACATAATAGTTCCAAAGTCGTCATCAACAAGAATCATATCGGCAGCTTCCTTGCAGACGTCGGTACCATTGCGACCCATCGCGATACCAATATCAGCGCGCTTGAGAGCCACACCGTCGTTTACACCATCACCTGGTAACATAAACATTAAACATGTTATAGTAAGTTCCATAAATTAGTTCGGAAGTTGCGCAAAACGTGCATAAGATGCGCAAAATGTTCAGTAGTTGCGGAAAATGTTCATGAGTTGCGCAAAATGTTCATGAGTTGCGCAAATGTGGACTTACTTTGCGCGTAACGTTCACATATTGCGCATCAATGTTTATATGAATGTATCAATGCTTTAAGTCTTATGTGTTACCTGTCATGCCCACGATATTGCCCACTCGCTGCAGTGACTTCACTACAGCCAACTTATGTTTTGGTGTCACCCTGTAGAATACGCTTACCTATAAACAAAATATTTACATTTACACATATAGGAATAATAAAAGATAATAAAAGAAATCATCTTTAACGAGGTGGATTATTGTACCGACTCAATATCATGAGCATAGTCCATCAGACCAATATAATTTCAACGATATGCATAAGAATTAACAATTTTTTTTTTTCTCATAGTCAATATTGTCTAAACGCACACCACCACGACAGCAGTCATACATAAGTGTATCTATAGGTATCTATACCCTTTTCTAATACAGTCCACTTGTATGCATTTTTAGTGAAAAATAAACCGTTAAAGCGTCCACACGTAGTTTTATGTGCAAACACCGTCCAAGCAAAACTCATCCTTATTGCCGTCATCATATGGTCCTATTTCGAACCGAATCTTGTCGCCTACCGGCGGCTAACCAGCGTGTGTCGTGAACAAAAGAAAGCGATAAGGAACACGTTTTAATTACATAGTTTTTGTGGACGGACTATGACATCGTTAATATCGTGGTTAATATTATAACAAACAAGAACATTAGCTGTGCTTACAGTGTGTGATCGGATTACGACTAAAAACTTACTGCAAGTGCTAGTTAACACGTGGTCTATGTGCTCGCCAACCGCTACATGTGGACCTTATTTTTCCAGTGAAACTTACGAGTGTTAAATACATATATTGTCATGGAAGATCTTGTGGTATATCAACTTGAGCTATTAGATAACCTAACGAATGCAGAGAAAAACTATAAAAAAACGCCGAAAGATAGGATTAAAAGACCGTACTTGGAAACAAGGTTAGAAATGCTTGAAGAGCTTTGGAATAACTTTAAAGATGGACACAAAAGCATTGTTTTGAGCATCAGGGACGAGCAAAGAAAAACTCCATACTTTAAGGAAAAAACATATGAAGTGTTTCAAGAATTGTATGTGCAATATAAGTCGAATATGAAGGAGGCTCTTCAGCCATTTCTGGATGCAGCACAACAAGCTTCAACGCCTTATACAACTGAAGGTCAAGGGTCATTCGCGACGTCGTGCTCGGACAGTAACGAAATAAAATTGCCACGTATCAACATACCTGCATTCAGCGGCAAATATGACGAGTGGCAGACATTTTACGACTTGTTTACAACATTGATACATAAAAATACGAAATTATCTCCAGTGCACAAACTCCATTATTTAAAAAGTAGCTTAAAGGGCGAACCTGAAGTAATTCTTCGTAATTACACCACGACAAATGCGAACTACACCGATGCTTGGAACGAGTTAATACTGCGTTATAACAACAAAAGATATAACTGTAAAGCTATTTTGAGAACTTTTATATCACAAAAATCTATACATACTGAATCGGCGAGTTGTATAAGGCATCTATTAGACACAAGTTCTACGTGTTTAAAGTCGTTGAAGAACTTAGATGTGAACACCGATACATGGGACTTAATTATCACTTTTTTAATAGAAGCCAAACTAGATCCAGAATCAGTAAGACTATGGGAACAACAACTGAGTACATCTAAATGTGATATACCCACGTGGCAAGATTTAAGAAATTTTCTGGAGTCTAGATATAGATCCTTAGAGATGATCGAAGCTAATAAGACAAAAACGTCACAACCGAAGCCAGTAGCTAAACCTAAGTCCTTTCATGCGAATGTGGCCAAGGAAGGGAAAGAACGCGAAGTTAAATGTATGTTATGTGGAGATCAGCATTATATATATCATTGCAAAGCATTCGCCGGTATGTCTACCAAAGAAAGGCAGGAGAGTGCCAAAAAGAACAAACTTTGTTTCAACTGCCTCGCGCCATCACACTCGGTGAACAAGTGTCGACAGTCAGCGTGCTGCAAACGATGTGGACGTCGGCATCACTCCCTTCTACACTTCGAGAGAGAAGAAAACGCCGAGAAGTCCAACGAGGGGACAAACACGGCTACAGGTATCAATCGTGAGGCGTCGCCAGGTGAGTCATCTTCGTTAATTAATGCTGAACATATTGTATCTAATTTTTCAACTAAGCATATTCAAACAAACACGGTGTTATTAGCTACTGCTAAGGTTTTAGTTAATAGTAAGAACGGTTGTAAACATATTATTAGGGCCTTGCTAGACCAAGGGTCACAAGCGTCATTTGTATCTGAGGCGACTGTTCAGTTGCTTAATCTTACACGTATATCAGTCAGTGGTTGGGTGTCCGGTGTGGGAGAGGGGCAAACGAAAATTAAACACATGGTTTCACTCTGTGTGAAATCACGCCACAATCCCAATGAGTCAGTTAGAGTAAATGCGTATGTACTGCGCACATTAACAACACTGTTACCCACTAGTTATCTTACATTCCCCGATTGGTTAGATCTTCAAGGACTGGATTTGGCTGATCCAGGGTTCACAACACCAGGTAAAATAGATATTTTACTTGGAGCTGAGGTTTATGGCAACGTACTGTTGGATGGTATTATCAGGCACCCTGAGGGCAATTTAGTGGCACAAAATACAATCCTAGGGTGGGTGGTATCTGGCAGGATGACACTTGAAGATAAAACAGGAAGGAAACGCATCACAAACCTACATGCACAGATAAATGACGATGATTTACTGAGGCAATTTTGGGAAATAGAGAGGGAACCAAACAACATAAAAAGAAAGTTTTCAAAGGAAGAAGAAATGTGTGAAGAATTTTATGATGCCACGACCGTGAGAGATGAAAACGGACGATTTAGTAAGATTACCATTTCAGAACGAAAATCCAGAATGTAAATATGGTGGTTTGAGGAGATAGCCATTAAAGATTTGAATGTTTAGAAAGAAGGTTGTCAAAAATCCTAAATTGCAAGATGAATACCGTAAAGTAATGGATGAATATTTAAAATTAAATCACATGGTAGAAATCACTCCTTCAGAAATTGATAAACCGGCTGTCTATCTTCCTCATCACGCAGTGTTGCGAGAAGACAAGTTGACTACAAAGCTTCGTGTAGTGTTCGACGCTTCTTGCAAGGGTACAAATAACGTGTCTTTAAATGATAACTTGTGTGTTGGACCTCAACTTCAGCAAGAGTTGCGACACATTTTAATGAGATGGAGAACACACAGAATCTGCATAACATCTGATATAATTAAGATGTATAGAATGGTTAGAGTATCAGATGCTGACACAGACTATCAGAGATTAGTGTGGAGGTCTTCACCCGACGAGCCTATTAAACACTTCAAACTTTTAAGATTAACTTTTGGCACTGCTTGTGCACCATATCTCGCCGTGAAGTCTCTACAAACACTTGCTAAGGAAGGGCAGTCAACTTATCCTATCGCAGCACAAATAACAATGTCTGACTATTACATGGATGACCTGCTTTCTGGCTGCGACACAGAAGAGCACGCAGTGGAAATATACCACGAGATGAACAGCCTAATGAACTCTGGGGGATTCCAACTACAAAAATGGAGTAGTAACAGTAAAGCTGTTCTACAGTACATCGGAAAGAATAATTGTGACGATCATGAGTTACCTTTAAAGGTCAATAGTGTTGTTAAGGTATTAGGCGTAAACTGGAATCGTGAAACCGATAGTTTTGAATACACAGTCAACTTGCCGGAGCCTCAACAACCTGTAACTAAAAGAACTATTCTTTCCGAAATAGCTAAGCTATATGATCCTTTGGGATGGATAGCTCCCGTTGTAGTAGTCGCAAAGATGATCATGCAGAAATTGTGGAAGACAGGGCTCGAATGGGATGAGCCTATTGACGGTGTCTTGCTAGCAGAGTGGAATCGATATCGGGAGAATTTAGCACACATCAAAGGCCTTAGCATACCACGATGGCTACACTACAGTAACACATCAAGGGTAGAGTTGCACGTCTTCGCAGATGCTTCGCAAGTCGCATATGGAGCAGTAGTGTACATGCGAGTCGTAGACGAAGATAGAGTATACGTCAGTCTTATAACATCTAAAACAAAGGTAGCGCCAATAGAGAAACAAGTCTCAATTCCAAGATTGGAAATCTGCGGTGCGGCGTTGGCGGCTAAACTAATATTAGAAACATCTCAAGTGATGTGTGTGCCTAAAAACAAGTTATTTGCGTGGACAGATTCCACCATTGTACTTGCTTGGCTAAAGGGTGGGCCAAGCAGGTGGAACACTTTCGTGAGCAACAGGGTGTCAGACATACTTAACACTGTAGATTTCGAACAATGGGGGCACGTATCTACAGACATGAATCCTGCTGACTGTGCGTCACGGGGCTTACAAGGATCAGAATTATTAAATCATTCCCTGTGGTGGAATGGACCAACTTGGCTGTCTAACCTAAATATGAATATAAACTACGTTCCTTACTACGAAGATACGCATGAGGAAGAACGCACGAGATCTTTAACTGCCATATACAATACTGAACAAGAGTTAATTTGGACAAAATTTTCGAGTTTATCACAAATGTTAAGGGTAATCTCATATTGTAGACGGTTTCTAAATTTAAAATTACCTGTATCCGAACGTGAACATTTTTCCAAATTTATTACGTCAAAGGAATTGTCAGAAACTTTAAATAACTGTATTAAACAGGTGCAATCTATTGAATTTAACGAGGATATAAAACAGTTAAAGTCTCGTGGTTACGTGTTGAAAAGGAGTAAGCTTCGCAACCTTTGTCCCATCGTAGATAACAATGGAATTTTAAGAGTTGCCGGGCGTATTCAGAAATCAGAAATGGCCTATGATACACAGCATCAAATAATTTTACCCGCTAATAGTCATCTTACCAGGTTAATAATTAAAGATGCTCATTTCAGGACAATGCATGGAGGTTCTTTAGTGATGCTAAACTATCTAAGGTCAAAATACTGGATCTTACGAGCTAAAGATCTAACAAAGAAATTATACCGTGAGTGTATTACCTGCATTAGGTACTCCAAAAAGAATACCACGCAGCTGATGGGTCAGTTACCTGACGTAAGGGTAAAAGCCGATAGGGCTTTTAAATCATCTGGTGTGGACTACGCAGGCCCCATCAACATTCGTTTCTCGCCAGGCAGAGGAGCTAAATCGTACAAGGGATACATATGTTTGTTTATCTGTATGGTAACGCGGGCCATTCACTTGGAAGCTGTTACAGACTTGACTGCTAAGGCATTCATTGCGGCTTTCCGTCGCTTCACGTCGAGAAGAGGACATTTTGTCACGATGTTTACAGTGATAACGGCACCAATTTCGTGGGTGCAGATAGACAACTGAGGGACATGTTCAACAGTGCCAAATCTTCCATTCCTGGTGAAATAGCAGAGTTGCTTGTTCTTGAGCGTACTACCTGGCATTACATACCTCCTCACGCACCCAATTTTGGCGGTCTGTGGGAGGCTGGCATACGCAGTACCAAAACTCATCTTAGGAAAGTCATTGGAGATGCTACACTTACGTTCGAGGAGTTAACCACAGTACTAGCTCAAGTCGAAGCATGTTTAAATTCGCGACCCATAACTGTGTTAAGTGACGACCCTAATGACCCCCTTCCACTCACACCCGGTCACTTTCTGATAGGTGAACCTTTATTAAATTTAAGTGATGAAAACTATACAAATTGTAATATTTCTAGTTTAGACAGATGGAGGCTAACCCAAAAAATGGTCAACGATTTCTGGAACAGATGGCACAAAGAATATCTCGTAAATTTGAACCAAAGATATAAATGGAACACCAAACAATCTGAGCCAGACATCGATGACATTGTAATTCTAAAGGAAGATAACATTCCTCCTAGTAAATGGATATTAGGCAAAATAATTAAAAACATGTGGGCCCAGACGGCATTACGCGTGTTGTGACAATAAAATGTAAAAATGGTGTCTATAAACGACCCGTAAGTAAATTATGTATACTACCTAAGAATACAAACTAATTTCATTGTTAATTGCAAAAAAGAACAGATAAATTTAGCCGGGATTCGAACCCGTTACAAATGCATTAGATTAGAGTTGTTACGTCATCAGTGTACACCCACACCTTTATGTTACGCATTACTTATGTTTTGTATCTCATAACGTCTCAATAACAATGTAAAAATTCTATTTGTTTGAGTTAACTAGTGATTCATACTTAAATTACTTACCTAAATACCTACCTATATGTTATAATATTGTTAGTACTTACCTTTTTTTGTTATCAGAATGATGTAAACATTCTTAGCTCCATAACATCCTACCTAAACATACCTACATAAACCTATATAGCTAACTAAATAATATCGCACGGTGGGCGGTTGGCAGCTATGAATGATTAAACCTTTGTTTTTATACTTACCCGTTTTTTTGCAGACAATGGCAGCCGATTAAGTTGGACAATGCGTCTTATTCGTTTACCATACAGATTATTGTTCTTTGACAATGTCAAACTTGATCTGCTAGCATTTGTTTTTCTACCTACTATCTATTATAATGTGAACTGGGTTCTATTTGATATACTTACTAGTTATGTAAACTTAACCGTACTTTAATTTTAATTTACTTTTTGTTAATACTAGGATAGTGGTTTGATGTTACTTGTTTATTTTGTTTTCATTTACAATTAAGTGTTATATGAACATCATTGAAATACGTTTGTTGTTGTCGTTTTGTTTATAATATCACTAAAAGGATAGATCCTTTGGTGGGCGGAATGTCTAAACGCACACCACCACGACAGCAGTCATACATAAGTGTATCTATAGGTATCTATACCCTTTTCTAATACAGTCCACTTGTATGCATTTTTAGTGAAAAATAAACCGTTAAAGCGTCCACACGTAGTTTTATGTGCAAACACCGTCCAAGCAAAACTCATCCTTATTGCCGTCATCAATATTGTCGTTATTAATAAGAATTTAAATTAAATAAATATATACTACTTAAAATATAAAGAATTAAAAACTAAAATATTTACACCTTAAAAAAATAAATAATAATAAAAATGCTATCTTAAGGCATCAAAAATTAACAATGATCAACAATTTTTAATCAGTAACTTACAGTGTCGATCATCCTGTCCAGTTCCTCATCAGACATGGCGTCGAGCTGGTCTCCGGCCAGCGACTGAGAGTGTAATACGTCTAGACCCACCATTTGAGCTGGAATAAACAGTAAATGTTATTTTTACTAGTTTAAAAGTAATTGATTATCATAATACAGTTTCAGTGGATAAATAATGGTCGTTTCATTCACACAAAGAAACAACGAATGCATTGAGTCATACATTACCCCTACTATCGGATTTTCTTCTGTGTCGTTTGTGGGTGCGTTTATAAATATACAAATTCACATACATATGACACCTAGACCCGAAACAACAATTTATGGATTATACAAAGATTTGCTCCGTGCAGGTATCGAATCTGTTGCACGTTGCTCGGTAGCTGGTTGCCTAGCCACCGCACCAACTATGCACGCCGGGCCACCAGGAGCAAACAATTAGAAGTAATACAATGTCCCGTACCGACAGCGAGCGCCGTGGGGCGCGCGTCCCCGGTGAGCATCTTGACGGCGACGTGCGCGCGCGCCAGCGTGGCCACGGCGTCGCGCACGCCGGGCCACCAGGAGCAAACAATTAGAAGTAATACAATGTCCCGTACCGACAGCGAGCGCCGTGGGGCGCGCGTCCCCGGTGAGCATCTTGACGGCGACGTGCGCGCGCGCCAGCGTGGCCACGGCGTCGCGCACGCCGGGCCACCAGGAGCAAACAATTAGAAGTAATACAATGTCCCGTACCGACAGCGAGCGCCGTGGGGCGCGCGTCCCCGGTGAGCATCTTGACGGCGACGTGCGCGCGCGCCAGCGTGGCCACGGCGTCGCGCACGCCGGGCCACCAGGAGCAAACAATTAGAAGTAATACAATGTCCCGTACCGACAGCGAGCGCCGTGGGGCGCGCGTCCCCGGTGAGCATCTTGACGGCGACGTGCGCGCGCGCCAGCGTGGCCACGGCGTCGCGCACGCCGGGCCACCAGGAGCAAACAATTAGAAGTAATACAATGTCCCGTACCGACAGCGAGCGCCGTGGGGCGCGCGTCCCCGGTGAGCATCTTGACGGCGACGTGCGCGCGCGCCAGCGTGGCCACGGCGTCGCGCACGCCGGGCCACCAGGAGCAAACAATTAGAAGTAATACAATGTCCCGTACCGACAGCGAGCGCCGTGGGGCGCGCGTCCCCGGTGAGCATCTTGACGGCGACGTGCGCGCGCGCCAGCGTGGCCACGGCGTCGCGCACGCCGGGCCACCAGGAGCAAACAATTAGAAGTAATACAATGTCCCGTACCGACAGCGAGCGCCGTGGGGCGCGCGTCCCCGGTGAGCATCTTGACGGCGACGTGCGCGCGCGCCAGCGTGGCCACGGCGTCGCGCACGCCGGGCCACCAGGAGCAAACAATTAGAAGTAATACAATGTCCCGTACCGACAGCGAGCGCCGTGGGGCGCGCGTCCCCGGTGAGCATCTTGACGGCGACGTGCGCGCGCGCCAGCGTGGCCACGGCGTCGCGCACGCCGGGCCGCGGCGGGTCGCAGACGCCGCATACGCCGGCGAACGACAGCCGCTCCATGCCCGCGCCGCGGCACAGCGCTATTATACGGAGACCTGCGGGAAACACACCACATTATCCACCGCCTTCACCATTCATAATCATCATCCACGGCTTATAAGTGCCCACTGCTGACCAAAGACTTCATTACAATTTATAAGCCCAGGTTTCCTCACGATGTTTTCCTTCACCGTTAGCCAATGATGCCCAAATAATTTAAGCCTTTTTTGGTTTAACCAACCTCTCATTTTTAACGTAATTTAAATGACATTTAACAACATTTCGGTTTTCACCGAAATAATGGGAAAGTTTAGGGGTGGTTCGTGAAACTGCTATAAGATTAAGTAGTAGTAAGTAGCAACTGAACATCTGTTATGTCGGTTTGATAGCATAATAAAGGTGTAGTTATGTCTACCGCGTGGCTTGAAATTAATTCTATAATCATAGTCATTAAGACTATCGAATGCAGTATCTATTATACTTATAAACCAAAAACATGAAGTTTCAGTTTTAAGCAACTCAACAGATGTAACCAAATATTAATAACCAACAAAGTATGTAACTACAAAAGCACTCACCCATCCTTGCAATATTGTATGCTTCCCCGAGGAAATCGTTTTGTTTCTCCTTAGTCATTGGCGCGTAGTTGCCACTGCTATCAATGTACTGAGTGCAGAGTGGCAACACCTTCTCAATGGCTCCCTTTACGAAGAATTCTTCCTTTAATTTAGCGTCTCCGAACTTGGGAGCGCATTTTACGACCATCATCTTTGTTTCAGAACTGTAAAATGAAGGTGGTTTTAATTTGGAATTAGGTTCACTTTACTTGTTGAATGTTTGTTTAAGTTGATGACAGTATGTAAGAAAATGCGCATACTTGCGCAAAAATGCGCTAAATTGCGCTAAAGTACAACAACAGAATAAGTAATCACATTTCATATTATCTAAGCTCTAGATGATTCGACTTAGTATATTACCTGAAGGGGATCTCGTGGAGTCTCGTATAGTCATCCCGGACATCACGCATACCGTTCTTAAGCGCAACAGCTAGTAGCGCGCCCTCTGTAGGCTGACCGTACAAAGTATCGTCCCGGATCGTCGCATTATTACACAGTACGCCCACCTACAAAAAACAACATAAAGCGAAAACTTATAAACTTGAAATAAAGTTTAAGATGAACAATCTTGAAAGTTCTTCAAAAGATTCAAGTTCGTCGGTTGGTTGAATAAAATAAAATTGATAACTTCGAAGGACTTTTTAACTTTGAAGACGTGAATTAATTGAAAATCTATTGCTAAAACAACTGAAAGATTTTAAGACAAAATTGTAAAATGAAAAGTTTTAGGTGAATGTTGACTTCGAAATATATAAAAGAAAGGTTGTGCGAACGGGTAAAACCTTTTACGAAGATTTCACGAAGTTCGCATAGTACCTACATATCGACAATGCATGTAAAATGATAATAATGACTATTCATGTCCCATGTAATAGGGGGTGAGCTTATTGCCATATACCGGGCACACTTCCAGACTCCGTGCTACTACTGAGATTTTTTTAACTCGGTAATACTATGCCCGAGCCGGGAATCGAACCCGAGACCCCTTGCCTTGCAGTCGCACTTGCGACCACTCGGCCAACGAGGCGGTCCGAATCGAAACTCCCCAAAATTTATTCATAGAAGCAGTCTCTAAACATCGGAAATAAGGTCTAATGGAGTTAGTGGAGAGCGGTTACCGGTGCCCGCTTGGGGATTGAGCAGTTAAGTTCGAACCGGGCGTAAAAATAATTCCTTCGTCAATAACGTCCAATTTCAATAACCTATCTATCTGTAGACTTGTTTGCTAGAGATAGAATTTTGACACAATCTCCATACAAAATGGGGTTATTGAAACTGGCTGTAAATCCATTTCTATATTACCTCTAACATAGTATTAACAGCCATCCGAGCTACGTCCAAATCCCGTCCCTTGTACGCCCTCAATTGTATGTCGCCGCACGCATTGTACCCAGTGCCGGTCACTTCGGCAATATGGCCGCCGGACGTCGAAATCGTTGTAACTGTCATCTCATTCTTAGTAAGGGTTCCTGTGGATACATTAAAAATGTTTTCGGATTGTTGTAGGATTTCGGTTTTTGTGGGTCATCTGCTCAATCGTCACCAATACATTGCCTAGATTAGCTTTTAACTTGTTAGACCACAATTAAGTTTTAGTGACACATTTCAACTAACCAACAGAGGTTTGAACGCGTTTGATTAACATGAATATGCTACGATTTTCTTACTTACTTACATACATGACATATTAGCCAGTTGGATTTAAATAGAGAAAATACAGTATCAATGTTACCCCAAATGTTGCAAGTGTACATAGGCCACGGTAACCGCTTACTATCAGGCCTTTTTGCCACTGTTGTGGTACAAAAAAAATATCTTTCTAATGGGCATGCTGAAACCTCTTACTAAGGAATTTCTGTCACCAAAAATGGAGAAACTCACCGGTCTTATCACTGCAGATAACATTTACACAACCAAGGGTCTCGACAGTGGGCAGTTTCTTCACGATGGCATTCCTCTTGGCCATGCGCATCACGCCCAGAGCCAAGGTCACCGTCACCACGATTGGTAGACCTAGGGAAAAAGGTAAAAAAAAATATTGCAATAAAGAAAATATCTACGATTGTCGCTAAAACAGTTTGAATTTACCTGTGACAAGTAAATTGGAAGACTAGATAAATAAGCACAAACTTCCAATACCGTATATGTAAGTCAAAGTTCGATTACTGTTAGATCAGAAACTAAAATTCAAACAATCCACTCACCCTCAGGGATAGCAGCGACAGCCAAACTAACGCTGATGGTAAACATCTCCTGCAGAGCCTTCCCTTGGAGCCAACCAGTCACCATGATGAAGCCGATGATGCAGAACGAATACATGGACAGCTGAGCGCCCAGGGTATCCATGGACTTCTGTAGCGGAGTCTTGGGAGCCTCCTCAGCTTGCATCATTCGGAATATGTCTCCGAATTCTGATCGCTCGCCTGTGCTTACTACAATACCCTGATAGAAAAAAAAAATATGGTGAGTTAAGTCTCATGAATTTCACAAGAAAAGTAGATAGGCTTAAGTTGTCTCTATTTTCGCAAAGATGTGCTATACGAGCTTGAGAATTGGACATAAGACTTGGAAGGCACGTAGAAATGATAAGAATCTTCTTTTAAACAAAAGTCAATTGTAAAACCGCATTACTGCGGCTTATAACCATACTGAAACCAAGATCGCGAAGGTATTGCAAACTCACGCCCCTCCCACCCATTTTATCATCATTAAAAATGCTTAAAAACCTCAAATAATAAATATCATCACCTCTTTTCTAAATACTCTCAAAAACACTTACCTTAGCATTTCCACATCTCACAAGGGTGCCCATGAACGCAATATTATCCTTGTTCACCCTCCCAGCAGCGGCTTTATTAGGCAGCACGCTTTTGACAGCCGGTTCCGTCTCTCCAGTGAACGAGGACTCATCAATGGCCAGGTCTGTGGAGTCGAAGAGCCTGAGATCGGCCGGCACGCGGTCACCGATATTGAGGTGGACTATATCACCGGGCACCAGGTTTCGCGCTAAGAAGTGCTCGAGGCTGCCTTCTCGGAGACTGTGAACAAAGAAAGTCTTAAATTACTTGACATACCTATATACAAACAAATATAGGCAGAGTAGAACTCATTTGTCACCACCTATTCCTACCGCGGATGTCTTAAGAGCGGACTTCCCCTAGTCGGCTTTACTTTATTTACTTCACTAACTCTTTCCGCGCGGTTTCACCCGCTCTGCTTGGCTCATGTTGGTGTTAGCGTGATGTTTAATAACTTATAGCCTTCCTCGATAAATACACTATTCAACACAAAACATATTATTTAAATCGGATCAGTGATTCCGATAATATGAGCGATCAAACAAACAACATTCTTCAGCTTTAGATGATAATTTACTTTATTTCGCAGCCTCTCTGATAATCCTGAACGTCTTGACCTGACGTGATAGAATAAAATGCTCATCTCTACTTTCCACTTATAGATATTGAAGGTGTAATGTGGTGTTGTTATAGATCATTCACAGGTAGTTACAACATCGGAGAGCTGTTATCGTAACGCGATTGACGTCATAATATAAAGGGCGTCAATTTATAGCCAATTATAAGGTCAATACATTACAATGAGTTGCTGTTACGAGCTTTGAGCTTCATATTTGTTTTTAAAAACCTTTAGTACAATATTATATTGTCAAGTAGTAGTTTATTTAACTAGGACGGCTATAGGCTAGGTGGAGTAGCCAGTAACAATAACAAAAATATGATAAGTTAATACATAAATAACATAACATGACATCACCCCTTTTTTTATCCCGGTAGGTAGAAGTGCATATTAAGGCACATAATGCCACTGTACAATGTAACAAACACTTTTCACTATTTATGTTATGAGTCCCATGTAAAAGGGGGTGAGCCTATTGCCATATACCGGGCACAGTTCCAGAATCCGTGCTACTACTGAGATTTTTAAAAACCCAGTAACACTTTGCCCGACCCTGGAATCGAACCTGAGACCCATTACCCGGTAGCCGCACTTGCGATCACTCGGCCAACAAGGCAGTCAATAACAGTACATAAATAACAATATCATATTTATTAATAACAGATTAAGTTCAATCGAAGAAATAGACGTTATTATCTAGAGCTGAGTAATCAACAGACATTAATTAAGCGCCTAGTAATCTGGTCAATTGCTAATAAAGAAACGAGTGCGTCATCCAATATCTGAAATTCAACCTAATAACTATATGAAAGTTCAACATACATAGAAACTTAGCTATTTTTTTTAAGGGGGGAAAATCATCGAATGACTGCTCCCGCCTGGGCGAGGCTCCGGGAGTGTCAGACTCTTACTGATTAAAAACCACCCCGTTCCTTCTCCTGCACATCGAGCCGGAGCCCCGGTAACCCGTTAGGTTCTCCGCGACAGGAAACTTAGCTATAGTTCATGGTTTTGCTTGCGTAGTCAAAGGACAAAAGACAAAACAGTACCATATTTTCGGACGTAAAATAATACGCTCAGATTTGACAGTCTAGTTATGATCTCTAATACGATTGCAGAGCAAGATAGTGAACATTGACCCATCAAATATTAAAAGAGGTTGACATGAATACTGAAAGACACCTCAATTTTAAATTTTACTTAAATATCGTACTGTCTCTGTCATTAATAAAGAATTTGCAGTGACAGATCTATACTTAAACGCGACTTAAAATTGAATAGCGTTTGAGTATTTGGACATTAATGTTTAATGTCCGAGTCGTGCAAAGTAATATTCGGTTTTATGAAACTACGTATAAAGCTGATAATGTATTAAATTAAAGAATTCGACAGATTGGACCACATTGGCTTGCCAGTACACAGAAAGCTTAGTTACGTCGATTGAATGGCAACTGATTAGAACACTGTTATTAGAAGCCCTTCCAATTTGAAGAACAAATTACAGATATTGAGCTTGGTTATTACAGGCCAGGAAAACATTATTTATGACAAAAGAATAAGATATCTTTAATGAACACGACATCGCGGTTGTTCTTTCATTAAGGGATGAGCAGAAGTACATCTGTAGTAACTATGTCAGTCATTAATCAGTATGGATGCAGCAGAAGGTTGACTAAAGAAAAATAATCGGAAAACTTTTAACTTTTAAATGTGTGGACGATCCATGTTTTGAAATACTTTACACGCTTTGAAAAACAAAGAAACATCCCTCCCCTTGAACGGATGCCGTCAACTGGGACTGGTCAGCTCCAGACTGCATTATTTATTGCCATTTTTTTTTTCGATCTCTTTGGCTAGATTTTGGTGTTACATTGTTCTCACACAATCGAACCAATAAAACTATGTAACTAGAAAAATGTATTGTGAACCTGATCAACCTATGAAGTTTCTTGTTCGTTCTTCTCAAAAGGAATCTACACCTTAGAATAAGCAAATATCTTCAATTTTTTTTTTGTTGACTTTCAAAAGTGTCTTCCTGGTTTAATTAAAATAAATGATTTTGACTTTGACTTCTCATAAATATAGTACTTTTCATAAAAAACGATTCGAGAACATTTTAAAAAGAGAGCATGTATTGTGACGTCACTCACCAGTTGCAAGATGGCGGCACCAGTTTGTTCAGCTCCTCCAATGACTTCTCGGAGCGATACTCCTGGACGAAGGCAACTGTCACTACTATCATGATGGCCACGGTGATGGATATGGCATCGTCGAACTGCCGCATGCAGACGCTCACCACTGCTGAGCCTGTGGGCAAAGAAAAACCAAATATAAGAAAAAATGGGCAATAGATTTGAGGACTAGTACGTTTAGCTTTTGATATCTAATCATATTTTTATTTTTAAAAACTAACCCGAAACTTGACAACGTTTGACCTCTTTTTATTCTAAACAAACCCTTTCCGGCCAAAACATACCGACCACATAAAGAGTTCCTAAAAATATCCTTCAGCTTCCTAAAAATATTAACTTCTTGAGTACCGTCATTATAGACACAATTAAAGAACAATAGGTTGCGGTCACCAGTGTCCTCGCGGTGTTTGACATTTTAAATATATTAAATATTAAATTCTTTTAAGTATATGACTGCCTCGTTGGCCGAGTGGTCGCAAGTGCGACTGCCGGGCAAGGGGTCTCGGGGTCGATTCCCGAGTCGATTAATTCTCAGTAGTAGCACGGAGTCTGGAATTGTGCCCCGTATATGGCAATAGGCTCTTCCCCTATTACATGGGACTCATAACATAAATAGTGAAAAGTGGGTGTTAGGTACATTGTACAGTGGTATAATGTGCACCTCTGCCTACCCCTTCGGGGATAAAAGGTGTGATGTTATGTTATGTGTTCTTTTAAGTATCCTTCCCTTATTGAATCATTCATAATGACATGTCCATGTCCATCATCAACATTAAACGGTCCAATTGAGAAACATGATTGTAATGAACGCAATGATTTATTAATTTATATCAAGAAGGCTATTCGGTAACAATACGGCATAATATTCTCATTTAAACAATGTTATTTATTTTAAATGCATAATTAAACACAATGTGTTACCGAACCGTGTCAAATTTTAATCTTAAATATTAATAATAAAACCACACACAAACGAATTGATAACCTCTTCCTTTATGGGAAGTCGGTTAAAAAGAACCAACAAAATGTTTGTACGCTCATAACTGCAAAACGACAACAAATTGGAAAATTAGTATGGAAAGTAGGGCAGAAAGCGCATGGAAAATCTTGGTATATCGGTAGCAAATGAATATTGTAATATATTAAAGAAGCCCCAAATTAAAATTACTCTTAACCGACGAGCATGCATGAAAAGACTGATGTTTGTTGATGAAGCGAAAGATGAATGTAAGAATCGTAGTAATTGGTGTTCTATAGTATCTACCTACTCCATGGAAGACAGGCGTGTAGTTATGTATGCAATATTACAATATTACAACATTAAAGTACTTTTTTTATTCATTCGCAGCATACGTAATTTTTGGTAACCTACATAAAATCAAGAATTTTTTTTCAAAAACTTTGCCCCACACTAGGATTATCGCCTGTGTCGTGGGTGCGTTTACAAACATACAAGTTCACATACACATGACACCCAGACCCGAAACAACTATTTGTGCATCACACAAAGTATTGTTCCGTGCGGGAATCGAACCCGCGACACGTTGCACGGCAGCCGGTTGCCCAGCCACTGCACCAACCGTGCAGTCGGCAGTGCAAATGTGACAACATGGCTACCGTCCCCACCATGTAAACACAACAAGGACACCTTAAATACACATCTTCACCCTATCTCCTAGATCGATCATTATCTAGCTTCTCTATAAATAAGCCAAACGAAATAAATAAAAGAAATTCTACAAATAACAGTAGCAAGGGGACAATATACACGCAACCGTTGAAATAACCTGTAATAATATCGTGGTGAATAGCAGGTGCAGTCATTTAAAGGCCACGTCGATATTAAACGTACAAGTACGTACTTCATGACAATAATCGATAAATAGACCAGTAAAGCAGACATCAAAGTAATAACTTTCGATTGTGTTCAAAGCAAAACTAAACAACTTAACTGATACAATAAAATTTACAATAGGCATGGCGTCAATTTTTAATTTTTTGTCCGTCTTTTAGATATTTTAAAAATCTTCGACACGTATTTTTTCTTTTATCTCGTATCCAAAAAAACATGTAGATATTTTGAGTTACAATGACGCGTGACGTCACAATTAGGTACGATTTCTCCGTAAGTGTGACGTCAACACCCCCCACTCCCTAACTTTAATGCGGAATAACTACGTATTCTTCAGTTAATTTGATAAAACAAAAAATACGTGTCTGATATTTTCGTGCGATCTTAATGACGGACTAATTACTTTTTTGATTTTTTTACCCTGTCGACACGCCTATTACTCCACGTCCATGGTTTTTTAAAGGTCAGAGATTTTGTTACACGTCCACGTAGTTTTTATTGGAATTTGTTGCCACGCTCATATCAATAATACACTCCAAACTTGTACCAAAAATGTACATGTGACTCATGAACTTATTCTAAAATTTCATCGTGAGTCGTATGTGTCTCCTTGGACAGTTAAGTTGTTAAAAATGTATAGCAAAGGTATTTCATTCAGAATACGCGTTAGAGAACATTAGTATTTGAAAGAAATAAATAAAAACTATTTATTACACCACGACACACACGTAGACAATAATACAAGAATGCATAAAAAGAAGTTCATGGTGCGTCGCAGCGCAAAAGGTCGGAGCTCAGCTTAACATATGCTGTGGCCCGGGCATGAAAGCTCGAGTCCACAGCGCTGATTTTCAGCACCAGTCTTGTATAATACAGTTACATATTTAACATTTTTATTTCAAAACAACTGATATCACGACCATGAGGTAGGTATCAACTTCTATTTTTGAATTCTCAAGTGAGATTCATTTTCAATGAGGATTTCATCAGAAAGCCAGATTTTTTAGTACAATGCTCAGAATCTACCCAGTGTTTTCTCTCGCTCTATCATGAGGAAAAAAGTGAATGCATTACTTATTAGTAAGTAGTCTGTAAGTAACAGATACCCTGAATACCAGATTATATGCAATGTGCACCTGTGTGTCTTGACACTTCACACACTTATAAACTATTCATCTAACAGTTTATAGGGTAAGTTTGCCTGTTCGCGTCCACCCACCAGAGCGCTTTCAATCCAACCAATCAGTGCCGAACGCGGTCTCGTTTCAATTATTTTAAACTTAAAACTCGTACTAAGGCCTCTGTCCTGCCCTTTTTACGGATTGCCATGAATATAAAATACTTAAAACATGAAAAGGTTAATCAGATTTGTACTAAATACTACGAGGACAGTTTTCTTATTTTTGGCAATTTTTAAAGGGTGTTCCGTAACGCTGAGTGGACGCGAAAAGGCGAAGTTACCATATTACTTTTATAATAGAGGCACGTTGATTGACAGGAATACTAGACATCTAGTCAATGATGACGCGACACAAACAACAGAATTCATTCAACATTCAAGGTCATACAAGTATCATTTCCCCCTTGATTTACAGATGTCCACACTGACAATCACACGGCTTATTACCTCCGATGATTGTAAACGTAATGTATAGGTAATTATGATACACCTAACTGGAAGTCGACATGACAATATCATTTATATAAAATTATAGACAAAACACTCCCGACTGCGAAAAATAGCGGCTAAAATAATAGACAGAATGGTTGCTGAATGGTATTGGAAATTATAGATTATTTTTGACATTTTTGTCATTATTATTGTCTTGTTATATATACCTTCATCCCTTTTAATCACTAAGGGAAAGGCAAATGTGAATATTATGGCATATAATGTCATTGTATCTACAATGTTCTGTACTCCCACTTCCCGTCAGTTATATTATAAGTCCCATGTAATAGGGAGATGAGTCAATGAGTCTGTTATTGTCGTGTTGATAAGGGTCGGCAAGACGCTTGTAATGCCCCAAGTGTTGCAAGCGTACATAGGCCACGGTAACCGCTTACAATCAGGTGGGCCGTGTGCCTTTTTGCTATAAAAAAATCTTAATAGTTAATAATTGCGTAAAGAAAATATAAGAAATCTAATATAATCGGTTAGATTTCGTAACATCATAAGATATAATAGATAAATCAAATCATTTAAGTATATATTATTTTATTTAGTGAAACTCTAATATGGTTAAGTCGGCTAAAAATAAATTACTTAACAAAATATTCACTTGAAACTTCATGATATCTAAATTAAGTGTAAATAATTTATTCTGTTTAGATAGAGCCAAAGTATAATTATGTTGATTACAATTTTAAATGAAAACCAGTAGACCGAGGACTTTTAGTTGATAAAATAAAGATGAAACCATTAATAATATACTACTTCTAACAGACTAATTGTGATGGATAACAATTTTGAAGTGTTCTATTAAATATTTAAAAAAATATACTAAATAAAAAATAGGATGTTCAATCTCAGAGGACACCATGGAAAGTAAATAAATAAGTTACTAAACAAGGGACCTCACATCTGACAGAGACCCTAAAATTTTTAAACAGTGGTCTTCAACTACCGAGCGAGTAGATTCTCTTATATAGACGAGACCCAGTCTTTTTTTAAGGGGCGAAAATCATCGAATGACTGCTCCCGCTAGGTGAGGCGAGAGGGAGTGTCAGACTCTTACTGACTAAAAACCACCCCGTTCCTTCTCCTGCACGTCGAGCCCCGGTAACCCGGTTAGGTTCTCCGCGACTCCGAATCGGCATCAGCCATATTGGGCCCCATCCGTGGTGGTCTGAGACCCATAGTAATTAACTGTAACGGACTGTTGATGATTAAGTAAAATATTTACTTTAAAACTTCGTCAAACATACTAAATTAACTATTAAGTTTCCGGCTACACACGTAACTGTTCGATGCGGAAATCGACTAATTTCAAACCATGCTGAGGCTTTTGTGTGTCGCGGAATACTGCTCATGAATATGAGCCTAAATAATAATGAAAGTAAAATACTGATAAAAGTACCACCTGGTGACTACGAAAATACTAGAATCATCATTATTATCACATCTATAGATATTTTTCATGGTATTCCCCATATCGCTATTGATCCATATAACATTACCTTTAACTAAACAGATAAATAATCGTACGCATGTATGCTAAACAGTAAAATAAATAAATAAGTATATAATAATACTTAAACAC